TCAGCGCCCCGGGCCCGGCATGGCTTCCTGCGGGAGCGGAGCGCTGCGTGCCGGGCGCGCCCCGCCGCACCGACTGCCGCTGCTGCCGCCGCGCTGCCCCCTCCTCTCCCCTCCTCTTCCCTCCCCTCCTCTCCCCGGCGGGGCTGGCGAGCGTCTCCGGGCAACGGCAGCACCGCCCCGCACCGCCCCGCACCGCCCCGGCCCGGCGGGCACGGCCCCGCACCGCCCCGCACCGCCCCGGCCCGGCGGGCACGGCCCCGCACCGCCCCGCACCGCTCCGCACCGCCCCGGCCCGGCCCCGCACCGCCCCGCACCGCCCCGGCCCGGCCCCGCACCGCCCCGCACCGCTCCGCACCGCCCCGCACCGCCCCGCACCGCCCCGCACCGCTCCGCACCGCCCCGGCCCGGCCCCGCACCGCCCCGCACCGCCCCGCACCCCGGCCCCGCACCGCCCCGGCCCGGCGGGCACGGCCCCGCTGCCGCCGCCAAACGGGTCAGGGCAGCCCCGGGCCGGGCCGGGCCCCGCGTCCGTCCCGCCGCCCGGGATTGTCCCCGCGAGGCCCCAACCGCTTCAGCCCCCGCGGTCCGCGGACTGGACGTAAGTTTTAGTGGCTGAACATCCCCGGTGCCGAGGTGAAGCCCGCGCACGGGGCACTGCAGGAGAGGAGCGGTGATGGTGAGGAAGGAGGGAGTCCCAGCCCTCCGAATTCTCCCCACTCCCACCACAGAAAGCGGGATCTTGCCCCCAGCTCCCCAGTTTATCAAAGCCTTCCTGTCCTTTATGCATTCTATCAGGCCAAATACACCATGCATAGGCAATATGAGTCCCTCTCAACTGCAGGTGCTTTTTAGCCTAAAGCACTGAACTAAATTACATTTGTCATTTTTATTCCAATTGATACAAATGCACAGAGTTCTACATAAATCTTTTTCCCCCCCTCATTTTATTAAAATAGTTTTTCAGTTGTATTCTGCACTAGCGAGGCCTTAGAGGTTAATCATATTAAAGACAAGAAACATTTGCCTGCTTCGTTACTCATCCATTCACAAAATGTTCTTGTGTAAAAGGAAGAGATAATTAGAAGTATCAAGAGATTTCTCTTTGAAGATGCCATTTCATCTCTTTTGTAAATAAAATTACCTCACTCTTGTATGTTTCTCCTCAAGCCATGTCCTCAGCCCAAGTTTTATACATCTTTTCAAAACCTATCAGCAATGATGATTGAACAGATGCTATTGTGCCTTCCACAGGAAGGTTTCAAAAGCTTGTTGAGAATCTTAACTACTCATCACCCAATTCTTCAGGTAAGAAAACTTAACGTACCTGAAACTTAAAGGACTTTATCAAAGACACATGGGGATTGAGAGGTCCTGCTATTTAAACTCCATTTGGCAGCCTACCCATAAACAGAAGAAATACAGATAAAGCCATGAAATCAAACCTCACATGGAATTCAGGTAAAATTCCTTCATTTTCCCTAGAAAATACTGTTAAACTCTCAGTTTAAAACATCCAGATCCTTGAGTGCTTTCCCCATGTCCAGTCTTACGCTGTTGATGCATAACATTCAAAACTGCAAGACACAAGCTCAAACTGGAGAAAAAGGAACTATATAAAAAATATATAAAAATAGTAGAATTTACCTCGGAAATGAGGACTAGAGCTTGTTTCCTCTGAGTAAATCCCTCAGTAATCGTTAAAAATCCAGATACAAGAGCAAGTCCTGAAACTGCTGCAAAATGCCTGTGTATTTTTATTAACACCAAGTTTTTAAACAACAAAATATTAGGTTTTCACCTTAAAAATTTACATCTCATTCCAGTCAACCGGGGAGCTAAGCACCTAAATTGAATCAAACCAGCAATACCTTCTCATATGATTTGCTTCACAGGCTTTTGTACCACTGGATTCTACAAATCCTGAAAGGTACAGTGACAGACAAGCAAAACAGTGACTAGTCCTTGCTGGAGTGGGACAAAAGCATGTTCCAGTAATCAGAGGTTATCTTTACAGCAGTCTTGCAAAATAATCATGACTTGGTAACAATTCCAAGACAAATACTTCTTGTTTGTTTTTAAGTGCAAAGATTGGTATCTTGATAAAGCATTCAGCTAAATGGAATTAGTGACACCTGATGGGTGGAATTTTTCCAGCCTCTTTCAACAATTCCTAGTCTCAAGTAGTCAAAAATTACTCCTATATCTAATCTACCTTTGATCACTGAAAACCATATAACCAGTTCTCAAAGGAGAAAGGTCCCCAAAACACCTGTTCCAGCCAGTCCCACCATCCCTCAGCCCATCAAAACCTTTCCAGAGTCCTGTGACAATTTTCAAATCTACAGTGAAAGACCAAACCCCCCAATTCCAAGGAGACACAGGGAGACGGGAGAGAAAAGCATTGCCAATGCCTCCACAGCAGCAAGGAATTTCTTCAATAAATGTGGCATGAAGGGAGGGAATAAAAACAATCCCTACCAGTCTGATCCAAAACTCTCTCCTGGCCCAAAATCCAGCAGCTGGTTTAATGCTGAGGTTATAAGGAAAGGACACTAAGTGCTTACAAAAATTTAATTTTGTGAAGAGCCCCAATACAATCAGACAGCACCTTGTCAATCTCCACAGCCTCTGCAGAAGCCTGAAAGGTCACTTTGCCTCCCAAAAACCCAGCAGAGAGCAAATGGCATCATATTGGGAAAAATCCTTCCTAGTTCTGCAAGGCAAACTGCAAGAGCCGTGAATCACTGGATCATCCTGCCTGGTTACAGTGCAACCAATTCAGGAACACTTCACCCCCCTGTACAAACCTGTTTCCAGGTATGTACCAATGTTCAGGCTCCAGAGACCCATATCAAGCAATTTCCTATCTTTAGCAGCTCTCCTGCTCAGTTGCATAATATCTTCCACTAAATTATTTATCAACTTTCTTCAAAAATCTATGCTTTCAGCATTGAAGAGCTGGGAAAGGTGTAAATAAAACACTGTATTCACAGAAGCTTCTAAAGCTGCATCTTTACAGCCTAAATTATTTTTCATTCTGTTTTGTTTTTAGAGATACAGATATTTAGATAAAAATATATTTTGATATATATAAACATATTTATTTTTTAAATGCATATATTAGGTATATATATTTATCTTTGAGTGACCAAACTGGTCTCACCCTGAAGCTGGTCCTACTTTGAGGGTTCTTTGGACTAGATCATCTCCAGGAGTCCCTTCTAAATAAACTCCTTTTGTCATCCTAATTAAGTAGATACTCATTTAGATAGATCTGTATTTAGACAATATGCTTTCTTGGAAAAGGTTCTGTAAGGATAGTAAGATAAGAAAAGTAATATATAGGGTATCTGCTGGAATAGCTGCCCTGGTAGCTCCCAGGCCAATTGCAGTCACTTGGTACTCAGGTACTGGCTCCCAAGGACCTGGAGATGGAGGTGCCTCAGCAGAGGAGTCCTGAGGGTATCTGCTGCCCAGCTGCTGCTAGAATTCAGTAACAAACCAGATCAGCAGCTACAATTTACCTGCTGCAGCAGCTCCCAGGAATCCAAGTTCTCACAAGGCTCAAAAGGATGCTCTGGGAGACCTCCCAGGTAAGGACCTTCCCAGGTCTGGAGGCAGGGATGTTCTGGCAGCTGCAGCAGTCAGAGACTCGCACTGGAGCGCTGTTTTCTAAAGCAGGGGATTGTAGAGCAGGGGCTGGAGCGCCCAGACCAGCATTTCCCAGCATCTCCATTCCGGTGGAGATGCTGCAGGAGCCAGCAGCCTCTCCTGCGGCGCTCCGGGCTGTTGCCCTCTGCTGGCACACATCCCACTGCTGAGCTCCTGCTCATGCAGGCCAGCACAGCCCAGCTTCAGAACACTGTTTTCCTTTAGTCTTTTGTATAAATCACAATTCCTACAAATAGTGGGATTATTGCAACAATTCTTAACAACATTACCATCTTTAGGGCAACGACCCCTGACCATCTTTATCCCCATCTGTGATTTCTGGGGCATGAGCCATTCCACTGCTCACCTACACAGCACTTACCCACCAGCTGAAAATGCTCTTCCTGCTGCTCTCCTGACTCCTTCCTGGAGCACCAGTCACCTATGTCAGAGGCACACACTTCCTGCCCTGCAGTCATATTTATCAGAAATCTGCAGGAAGATTTTCAGATTGATTTTATTGTTTAGTGCTCAAAGTGAAAAGAAAATCAGGAAGAAAGCTGTAAAAACAACTCTTGTGGGCACTGGAACAAAGGCCAGTATTCAGTTGTCTAAATGCTACCAAGTCTCTCTGCCTCCTTAGAGACTCTGCACCTACTGAGTGTACAGTTCTTGCTACAGGCTCAGAAAAAGACTGAACTTGAGAAAAAGTTTAGGCTATGGACCAAAAAGTGTGATTTTTTAACCAAAATTTTTCTAATAAGATAAAATTTTAATGTGATTCTTCATCTTTAAAGTACAACCCTTAATACCTCCTTATTACCTTCTGTAATAAGGGGAAATTATCCATATGCTTCACAAAGATGTATGGCTTAATTAATATTTGTATACTATAACTTAGAGGGAAGAGCATAAACAAATATTCCCATTCAGGATCGCAACACCGTAACCCAAGTCTCTTGTTACTCTTATTCCCTGTACACTCATTTGTCTTGCTGTCTTCTTGGAATTTTTTTAAACATTTCATTTCTTGCTCTTTGCAAAAGCCAAGAAACACAGTCCACCACCCTCATACTGTAACATAATGTGCTGCAGCATCAACACAAATGAGTGAAATCCACAGATGCCATACACAAAAATGTAGACAGGATTGTTTCTGCAGGCACATTATTTTACCAGAACAGAAAAACCTGTCTCAGGCAGCATAGCTTCCTCACAGGTAACAGACTGACCTTCATTATCTTGCCTGGTATTTTCTGGGCAAACCTCTTTTTCTGTTCAATATTCCATAGCTTATTCAGAGTGGGAACTGTATGTCAGGGGCTCAGATCAGGTTTCTCTTCACTTACTCGACTTTTGTGGTGTGCTTTTCAGGGCTCAGCTTTCCCATCCTCTCATTCACACAGAAGTGCACCCTGTGAAAGAAAAAAAAAACACACTTTAAAAAGGCATTAGAGAGTGTGTGGCATCAGCTGGTTGCAACACTTTTGGCACAGAGCAGCTCTAGCAATAAATCAAGCCCAGCTCTTCCTTTCAAAGGTGATGTTTCCCAGCTCCCTCTCATCTGACTCCCCAGTATACCAAAAACAAGGGCTCCCCGTTGCCACCACCTACACCCAAAGCCATCGTAACATTTCCAAAACACACGTGGTGCTGATTCATCGCCAAGCTCACGCCTCAAAGATTTAAAAGTAAAATTGATACCACACAGAGGAAGTTGAGGTTTTAACTGGTGCTGGTTGAGTAAAAGAAAATTCCCATAACATCTAAATGATGTCATTTGAGAAAAAATAATTTAAGACTGCTGAAAGTAACGGAGGAATGGGCCTAGAGGGAAAAGGCATACTGACTGCAAGGGCTGGAGCTCCTTGTGATCCTGGGCATTTCTCTTTTTCAGGAGGACACTCCTCCATGAAAGTAACAGTAGAAAGCTGGCATTACCCTTGCAGAATGCAGTTGCTAACCACCCTGTGCAAGAGGCATTAGCAATGACAACCCCAAACATCTGCAGTCCAGTAGTGATCTTGGGGGAGAAGTCCTGACCTTGCAATCAGGACTCAAAGGAGCCCTTTCCAATACACAGAGCATCATTATTGCAGCAGTGGTGGAAAGAAATATCACAGTGAAGGACTTTGGCCAAATTTGTTACCCAGTAAACTTAAAAGATTACTAAAACCTGAAGAGGTACTACATAAGCACAAGGAGAGAATCGGGGATTTAGCATCAGGAATCTTTCACACTGCTGTGACCCAGCCCAGGAAGAGCCAGTGAGCACGAAACCAGAGGACATCCCTTCTGAGAAGGGAGGGGATCTGGAGGATGAAATTGGAGTAAACTATTTCAAAACACAGCTGATAGTGCTGTGCTTGTATATAATAACAAGGTAAGCACAGCCTCCCCCCAGGGCCATGCCCTGCCCACGCTGCAATTTGTTCATCAGGGTGTGTGGTTGGGAGAGGGAGGTTTCCCACTTGAGCTGGCTTAGTGTACAGTAAAAAAACAAGATTATGGATACACAGAGAAAAAGTAAAAAGCACATGAACTTCCAGCCCCAAACTACTTGTGCATTTTACCTAGCACTGCTTTAATCCATGCCTGTGCTGCAAACAGGTTCAGTGTTCCTGAACTTTCTCCTTCCCAGGCAGTGCCTGCAGTGACTACACTCATGTTTCCTTCCCCCCCGGGGTTCTGTGGAAAGCAAATTTTCTTACAAAAGAGGGAAAGTCCATCATAAAGCTACAGAAAGCAACAAAAATTACAAAAATGACAGAAGAGACTGAGGTGGTACTCATCTTTTATATTGACTAGATTACAGACTGACAGTGTGTTTTCACGTGTGGCTTTGCATGTCTTTAAATTCAAAGAGCATTCCCAGGAGAACAGGGCTTCTGTGAGACAAACCAGTTGGCAATTCCATGGTACAAAGTAGCATTTGAACAAATTATGTACTTTCAGGTTTGTCAGCTCATTTTGCTTCTAAGGAATTTTTCTGCAATGTTAATCAGTGATTGGTACTTTGATGGTGGTGAGCAAATGTGCATCTTGACATATTTCCAGCCAGAAATGTAATTCCCTTCTAAATTGGCATAGATTCCTCACTGCATTACTCATGAAAAGAGATATTTATAGTAGTTTGATGAATATAATATGCACCAAAATTGTACACAGCTCAACATAGCCCAATTTATATTTTTTTAAAAAAAGAAGAGCTATTCTTTCAAATCTGTGTATTTTCCATCTGCAAAAGCATTTGGGAATGAAACTGTAAGCATCATGCTAAGAGGGTTAATATCCAGATGCCTCAGACAGATGGCATTATTAGTCTGCTGGGCTTGACATCTAGTTTTCCAAGTTAAGGAGCTTTGGTTCCTTGGATGGCTGACAATCTGAGAATAGCCAGGGCTCTAAACCTGACGTTTACTGTAACAACAACAGGCAACATTGCAGATTTGCCTCAAAGACTTTTAGCAAAAAAGTTACACCAAGATTAACCACACTCAGAATGTACTCTAAAAAACGCTGTTGCAGCGTTAGGTTAGGACTCCTACTTGCAAAGGCTGAACCACAGAGAACAGTACTTGAATTTTGGTTTTTAAGCTGGCTGGTTTTTTTCTTTTGCTACAGCCTAGACCTGAACTGTACCATCTTTTTAACTGTTCAGTCTATTCAGCAGGTAATACAGGAAATAGAAAACTGGAGAATGGCTCTCTTCAATGGCACTGAACTACAGCTTTACAGCCGTTGTTCTTTCAGGGTTCCCACTACCCATTTTCCCAGAGAGATACTTTAAGGGGAATATGGATTTCATACTATTAAAACAATCTGAGAGCCATATGAACAAGAGGTATAAGTTCAAAAGTTAATATTTCCACCCATTTATATGTAATAGAAATTTGTGAGAGTTCTGGGAGCAGAGAAGGTAAAAATACTAGGATTTGTCAAAGAGAACAGCAACAAGAAAAGCACCCAACTCCATCAGCCCTTTACAAGTCCTCATATACAGGTAAATAATACAAAATTCCCAGGAAAACATATATAGGAGGAAGACTTTCATCTTGTAATGAGAAATACACATCTGACAGTCATCAATAGTAATGCTGACATTACAGCACAAATAAATACTCATTAAAGGTAAGTGGAAGTAGAGGTAACGTCTGTGTGTGTGTATAAATGCACATTCCAGAAATAACAGAGCACTAATGCTTCAACAGGGGACCTAAAAAATGCCCATCAACAAAAGCAAACAGTGCTTGTTCAGGCTAGCTCAGAACTCCTTGTGGTGTGCTTGCATTGTGAAATACATTTTCAAGTGAAGCAGGGATACAACTGCTTTATTCATTAAGAAATACAAAAATAACAAGCAGAAAACTCATCTTTAAGAGACACATGTACCAGATCACAGAAATCAGTTATGCAAAACATGCTAAATAACCCATTGTTTTGTAAAGTATGCCTCTGGCTAGTGTGAAAGACTGAAAATTGGGTGATACATTTTTAATCACCTAATATTAATCCAAGGTATTACCCATATAGATTTTGAAAAACCACTGAAAATGCCTTCTTCCAAATAGCTCAGAAAGTAAAACGTCTGTAACAACGTAAACCACATAAATGTGGTAGAAACTGTTGATTACATGATAAACACTAATCCATAGTAGTTACAACAGAACAATCCTAATCTAAAGGTTTGGATAAACTGCCTTCTATCAGAAACCCAACCTTCTCACAGACTGTAGGAGCAAAACCCCACTGTCACAAAACACCATGCTTTGTTCACTGTGTGCACATCAGAAGGGCGTCCTTCAGGCTATTTTTTAGGGATTAATAAACAATATAATGATTTAAGCCAAGCTTTTTCATTTTAGAACATTCTGAGGTATGCAGAGAAAGGAAGCTGCTCTCTTTCCACACTCAAATGGGAGGTTGAGGTCTTCAGCATTTCAGACCCGTTTTGGCAGCAGTGGCAATGCCTTGTTGGGATGGCAGTATCAGCTGACAGAGCAGGGTAATAAACCCCTTTTCTGACCTACACCACCAATTAGACCTTCCAATGCCAAATGAAAGCAAAATTTGCTTTGCAGGGATCTCAGCTGCAGATGGCAGGGAGGACACCATAAAGCATTTGAGAACTTTACAATTTTTTGCCATTTTAAGTATTTCTGCTTCACAGGTCATTAAGTGCAGACGTGCAAAGTGTCTGGTAGAGTTCAGGCACACCTCCTGTCAGTGCCCAGCTGTGCACACCCCCACCTCCCCACAGGGCTGAGCTCCTGGCAGCAGCACAGGACTGCCAGGGCCACTGCTGGAGCCTGGACGGCAGCTATTGTAACACCCAGCACAAAAGCCTGCCCAGCTCCGGAGGGTGAGAATTGTTACACTACAGGAGCCTGCAGGACAAGACACAGCTTTTTTTTGCAAGTGTGCCACAGCACCAGTGACCCACAGAGATTTACTGCCATGGAAGCTGTCTGAGCTGTTAGCAGGTTCTAAGCCACCTTTCCAGCACCTGATGTTAAAACAAACACGTGGGAGGTACTTCCACAGACTTGGGCAAGTATCACTGCACTACATTTACAGGTGTTTAGCGTGTTTTTAATGCAGTAGTAGTCAGTTTTATGAAAGTGTAAGTTAGGCTGGTTTTATTAGCCAAATAAAATTTACAAGTCAAGAACAAATTATACTTTAAAGCAGACATGAACACCCATCACTATTAAAAAACTGTATGTACATCATAACACACTGAGTTCAGTGACACTGTAGTCTGAAAAGTTTGGTTTTGTAAATTCCATTTTGGTCATGCAGATTACAAAAATAAAAAAAAAAATCTGTGTTTTAAGAAAACTACCACATTTTTACTTTATTAAATGCTGAAAGCAAACTAATTGCTCTTATTTTCTATTTCTCACAGGTGATATCAACACAATGGAGCATTTGGTCCTGAACAGAAGGCCATTAACTTATCAAGATAATTTCAGACATAGAAACTTCAGAACTCAACTACAAACTAAGGAATGGCAAAGTAAAGTTACTTTACTTCTATCTTCCTTACCTTCCTAAAGCAACTGTGTAATCACAAACTTACATGCCAGCTATAACACCTTATTTCAGCTCAGTTCTTCCTGTGCACCTCTATGCAGACAAATCCACCCAGGGCTCAGAAAATCATTAAATACCTTTAAACACACGAGCAAAGTTTTATCAACAAATCTCAAATAACTAGGAACTGTATTAGAAACAGGTTTATATTCCAAGAGTCTTGAAGTCACAGTGTCTTTAATGCCAACCCATACAGATCTGCATTTCTCTGTATTCCATGGTACACCCTGGCACTGCTGCCCCTTCCCCAGCCTGTGCTCACAGGATCCTCTCCAACGTCCCTCCCAAGAGACCAGGGGTCACAGAGCTGGTGCCACCTACTCAAGCCACCAGAGAACATGGTTAAACAGGCGACAATCTTTTGAGGGCAACACTAGGCACCCTACTGCCTAATCCACATGTGATTTTTGGGATCAGCTCTTTGTCCTAGCAGATATTAGTCCTACAAGGACTACTGCACACAGGTAACAGCACATTGCAGCATAGCACTTGCCAAATTGTCAGATTTCACAAAGTCACTTTTTAAAAAGCTACTTGTTTCTAGTATCAACATATTCTGTCACAGCACGTAACATGAAAATACCCTAAAGCTATACTTGGTGCACAAACCTTTAGCTTCCTAAATCAAATGACAAGACACACCACAAACGTGAATTTAACCATTTCTCTGCAAGCCAGCCTGTTCCTTCATAAGGTTAAGGCAACAGCACTGCAAAGACTAAATCATACCCCCAAACACACAGCCTAGAACTGCTGCTCATTTCAGCTAAGAACAGGAAAACTGGGCTTCAAATGAAGTTCAAGGATGACTGTCCAACATGGCTGTAAAGTGCAAAGGTACAGAAAAAGCCTTCAAGTCCAGTGAGCTGAAATAAAACCACCCAAAGCTGTGCACGGACAAGAGCTGGCACTTGCAGTGTTTTACAAACTCAAACTCCGAAACTTGACTTACAACAATGTATAAGAGATGCTGGTGCACAACAGTAACTAACAGATTTTTGAGATAGAAAAATTACAATATAATTGCAAACAGCAAGTCATTTGGAACCTATTCATAAAAGCTCAGCTAAGCCAGAGAGAGCCAGTCTCCATAAGAGCCATAAACAACCACAATGAGGAGGAAATTCAGCTCTCAGTTTAAATCCTCATGATTACCAAGAGGTTGTCCTGTTTAAGCACACAAAGGCCATTAAGGTGATGCAGTTTCACTTCTAATAACATCAAAGCTCATTTCAATTTAAATAATCAAGTTAGATTGATAACAAATAGTAACAATAACTTGAAATTTAATTCTAAATTCTTCAGCCCAGAAGCACCAAGCCCTACACATTTAACTTTTCAGTGTAATCAGTGGGAATGATATGCCTAATATCTTGCATATCTGGAGGAAAGCAAAAAGCAGCTTTTATGATGCAGTCCCACAAAACATCAGCATTCCAAGAGCTTAGAAACCTGAAGTCAAAATAACTTTGTACTTTTTAAATGCATGCCCCACATCATATATACTCTCACTCAAGCATATAAGGTATTCAAATCTTTTATTTGATATCCATAAACCCATAAACGTTGCTAATCTATATTTCTATGCAGGAAGGCAGTTTTCCCCTAAAACATTATGCTTTTTAATAAACAACAAACTTTAATTCTATTGTGTGAAAGGGCTACAAATATACATTTTTTTAATCAAGCAGACTACACAGATATCTTTGCTTTACAACTGGCACCTATGTTACTTGCACACTTGCTGGCTCACTTCTCAGAGCTCTTTGCCCAGTTTAGATCACCACTTTCTGAAATATGGGCAACTGCAATTATTATTTGTTAAATTACGTGCTGAGACAGATATTGCAAATCCATTCCTTTTTCCACCCCCACCCAATCAGTAGTCAGGGACCCCATCTTTATTCACGTGCAGATGCCACTGCATTCTACACCAGTCATCTAGTGGCATAAAATAACTTTCCAAAGGTTGGTACAATCGTCAGCAAGCCAGTTTTACTCCTGCTTTAAGGAAGCCCACAGCATGGGGCTGCCATCCTGACAGCAGATGGAGCTGCAAACTTTCAGGAAGAACAATAGTTCCGAGTGAAATCTGTTAACCCGGGGCTAGGAAAACAAGTATGCCTTTAATAGAAGGGATAAATGTCGACCCTTTCCTGGAAGGAATCACACAGAGACAAACCAAGGACTTGAAAACTAAGCAATAAGAAATTCTAAACATTTTATATGAATGAAGCACATGCTTAACACAAACTATTTCTTCAAAACTACACAGTACATACGTTGATGGAAAAGTCCTACAGAAAAAACTGACCAACCATGTCAGCACGTCAAACTGCCTAGTACAAGATGGTGGATGCACACAAACTGCCAAAGTGAGAACAAGTATTTAAAAAACAGACCACATCCACGGATTAGTACTTCAAAAATTTCTCTGCCGAGTGTTTGAAAGCCACTAGCAAAAAAGTCAGTTAGGACCTTTACTGGCAACAAAATATTTACTACTCTAAGTACACTGAGATTTTAAAGCAGAGGAACACTTGCTTCAAACCTAGAAAAGCCTTAAAACCGTGCGGAATTGATCCTAGGAAAAAAAATTAGACGTATAAAGGTCAATGAACACAATGATTTATTTAAAAAATAAAAAACGTAAAAACCATTTTTTCCTCCTTTACAGAAATGTTAAAAGTCAGTCATGGGATCCGAGTAGCTTTTGTAGAAAAAAACGTAGTATCCAGGCATCGAGTCCTTACAACAAAGAACTTCCCCCCAGCCTCCCCAGTTTTTACTCCAGATCAGCAAGACACTTCCCACCCCGCACCCCCCAAAAAACAAATTAAAACAAGACATTTTTCGTTGCTAGTATAAAAACGACCAAGGTCCAAGTAATAATAAAAAAATAGAGTCCATCAATGACTGTAACACAAAATATGTGTATGTGGGGCCCAGTCCATCTTCAGAGAGAAAGAAGTGGCACAGGCAGCAGAGGCGACCCTCAGGGGGCATTTAGGAGCCGCTCCCACAGCAGGGAGGCATTTAAAATGAGCTGCCCTTCGGCGAATGAGGGGAGAAACCATTTAGAAGCTGCCCCGCATCGAAGGGAGGGCTCTCCACGCCCCCCCATCAATGGGTATGAGCGCTCCAGCTCAGAAAGAGCCGCCCCCGTAGCCTCCCCCACCATAGCCTCCTCTGTACGGTCCACTGTTACTGCGGCCCCCCCAGCTGCCGCCCCCTCCTCCACCTCCTCCGCCGCTCTTCATGGGGCCGTAGGAGGACTGGTGCTGGCTGTAGCTGCCGAACCCGCCGTACCCGTTGCCGTAGTCTCCGCCTCCCCCTCCGCCGCCGCCTCCGTAGGAACCGCTGCCATAGGAGCCGTACCCGCCGCCTCCTCCCCCGCCGTAGCCGCCGTAGCTGTTGTAGCCGCCGCCTCCTTTGGAAAGCCCGTTGTGATCCCGGTTGCCGGAGCCGCCGCCGCCCCGGCCCCTTCCTCCTCTGCCTCCCCGGGAGGGCCTGGAAGAGCCGCCGCCCCCCCCGCCCGCCTGGATGTCCTCCTTGGGCACGGCCTTCTTGACCTCCACTCGGTGGCCCTGGATCGGGTGGAACTTGACCACGGCCGCCTTATCGGCCGCGTCGTGGTTCTGGAAGTAGACGAAACCGAAGCCGCGCTTTTTCCCGCTCTGTTTGTCGGCGATGATCTCGGCCTTCTCCACAGGGCCGAACTGGCTGAAGTGCTGCACCAGGTCCCCTTCGCCCACGTCCCCTTTGAGGCCGCCCACGAAGAGCTTCTTCACCTTGGCGTGAGCGCCGGGTTTGGCCGAGTCCTCCCGGGACACGGCCCGCTTCAGCTCCACCGCATTCCCGTCCACCGCGTGGGGCGACGCGGCCATGGCGGCGTCCGCCTCCTCCACCGCCGAGTAGGTGACGAAGCCGAAGCACCGGGAGCGCTTGGTCTGCGGGTTGAGCACGACCACGCAGTCGGTGAGGGTGCCGTAGGCCGCGAAGTGCTCCCGCAGCCCGGCCTCCGTGGTCTGTACGTTCAGCCCGCCGATGAACAGCTTGCACAGCTGCGAGTTCTCCATGCTGCCTCCGGTGCCGCGCCTGGGCCTGGCGCCGAGACTCCTCCTCCTGTTCGGGGGCAGCTCCGGAGGTTTTTTCCCCCCCTGCTCCGTCTTGCCGCTTCTTCCCCCTGCGAGCAACGCGACCTCTTCACGGCTGCGGCGGCCGCCGGCGGTAGCTCGCTCGGCGCGGCCCGGCGCCTCCGCTCCGCCTCACCTGACCGGCAGCACAGTCAGGGCGTCCCCGGTGCCGCCGCTGCCCCGGGAAGGCGGGCGGGGGTGGGCGCGAACACAGGCGCGCACAAAATGGCGGCAGCGGCTTCTCGGGAGCGCGGCCGGCGACTGGTGCCCACACAAAGGGGCCGCCGGGAGCCCCGCCCCCCGGGCCGGCCTCCCCCGCCGCCGCAGCCAATGAGAGCGACGCGCCGGCGGCGCCCGCCACTCACGCCTAAGGGGCGTGGCTTAAGCCGCGATGGACGTGTGCGACAACCAATGAAAGGACGCGACCTCCGCAAAAGTCCCGGGGTTCGCCGAGGACCGACGCGGCGGGCAGCCAATAGGAACGCGGGACGCGTTCGGCGCGCGCCGGGCGGAGGGGTGGGGCATGTGCGTCAATGAGCCGGGCCCGCGGCCGGCAGCCAATGGGACGCCGCCTGCGGCCCGGCGCGCGCTCGCTCCCCGTTGGCCCCGCCCCGCGGGGGGCGGAGCGCGCGGGAGCGTTTGAACGGCGGGGACCGTTGGGCTCTGCGCTCTAAAGAAGTTCTTCCTCGCGTTCGCGTGGAACTCGCCGTGCTTCTGTTTGTGCCGTCGCTTCACGCTCCCGTGAAGCGGAGCCCGGCCCGCCCCTTGGCAGCGCCCCGTGGGTACGGACACTGCCCTGGGCTCAGCCCCCAGCCCGCCCCGCGCTCCCCTCCTCGGGGCTTTACCCTCCGCTCCCCGCAGCGATGGCGCTTCCCTCCTTCGTGCCCCCTTCCCTCTTGGTAACCGCTCCCAGCGCACAGGATGAGAGGAGCAGCCTCAAGGTGTGCCAGAGAAAGTTTAGTTGGATATCAGGGAAGAATTCTTCACCGAAAGCACTGTCCAGGCCTGGCGCAAGCTACCAGGTGGAGTCTCATCTTTGGAGGGTTTAAAAGACAGCGCGGATGTAGCACTTGGGGTCACGGTTCAGTGGTGGCTTTGGCTGTGCCGCAGGAAGGGTTCGAGTCGATGATCTTGAAGGGCTTTTCCAACTTACACATTTTTGTGATTCCTTCTCACTATTCCTGCTACTGTTTCCTCCCCTGCTTTCTATTTCCAACCCTATCACAGCCTACGCACCCTTAGATCTCTCCTTAGCTCTGAAAAGGAGGTATTTTCTCAGAGAAATTATTAGAGCTGTTCAAGAGTGTGCAAGCCCTGTGGAATGACAAATAGTGAGACAATTTTCCTTTTTTTCCCCTATTACTCTGACAGTGGATTAAACATTGCTGTCATGAAGACTGTAACATTACTTTCAAGTTAAGCGAATTTTTCATTAAAAAGATTCTTTTTTTTGGTCTTACAGTCACTAGGCTTTATGTTAAAATTAAGCAGGAGCTAAGAATGGCTGCCGTTCTGCATTAGGCACTGTCAGGACGTAGTTCCACAGTTTCCTGAACTGATCCTGCCTTTTCCCATGTGCCAACCTTGATGCTTCTGCAAACACACAGCATCCACATAAGAGAACTGAGACAGCCATAAATGGTTTTATCATGACAAAGGAACTGGTTTTCAGCTGCCTCAGCTTTCTGAAACATTTTTTGCACAATCTGCTGGTGCTGGCAGGAGGGAGGAAGCAGAACTGCAGCATCGCCCTGATGAGGATCAATTGGAAATGCTCCCTTGGAGACACAGACACAAGAACATTGACTGTGCTGGAAGGTTGGTTAACCACAGCCCCAGAGGAACTCCAGAGAGGCTGAACATGCTTTTGTCTCACAGGCTATGATTATCATTAACCTGTAGCATTGATACTTGCAATACAGTAATCTGATTTTACTCAGATTGGATTTTTTTAACGCTATAGCCAAGTCTATAGTAAGAGTAACTTATTAAATGACTATGTTTGACAATCACAAGGAAAGTTGTCATGACTTTAGATCCATTTATCTCAATGCATGAACTGACATCATCATTTTATCTAGTTTAAGAAAAAGAATATCCCATAATGCCACTGAAATATCTCTGGTTTTAAAATAAACAAACATATCCTTCTGTATTAAATAAAAATCTTCCCAGCTTGTGTCTGCAAGCTGCACACAAATTACAGGAAATACAAAGCTATTTTGCCTACTAGTTATTGTAAGAGCTGTATGGCCCCTCACAAGATAAATTAGTATGTGTCATGGAAAATAATCCATGAGAGTTTTGTAGGCTTATAGTAATTTAGAGCAAAAAGGATAAAAAATTAAGAGGAGCTAATTATGGCCTCAACAGATAAAGAAATCAAAGCTTGTTTACAGCACACTTTCTCTCCCAGACAAGCTAAGGAACAGATCAAAGAAAAAAGTCACAGCTTGCATCACGAGGAGACGAGGGTCTTTAAGATGTGAGTAAATCAGGAAAAAGCAGCCACTGACTCATTTCAGGTGTAGCCCAAATTCTTCCTCTTTATTTACACTTCTAACTGGTTGATTAATGAAAGGAAAACGCCTTTAAGACACACATACCCATGTCTTTCAGGTGGAAATGTCTCCTCTGAAAATGCACAAAGGCCAAACCGCACTTGGCCCGGTATCCCCACCTCTCCCAGCTGCTGGAGTGAGCTCGTGTTTTTCATTCACACCTTCACTCAAAACCTGCTCGTGTTCAGTCCCTGCCCTGGCGGGGCTGAGAGCCTGCACACATCCGTGTTCCCTGATACATCCCTGGGCTCTGGGATGCACACCAGCTTCTCCTGCAGACCCCAGAGACCTTCATTCCTCCCAGGCCATCCGAGCTGCCTCGGAGGCTCCAACCGGACCTCTCCAATCACTGTTGGATTCACGCCTGCTGAGGCACCAGTCACCCGAGCTGTGCAGCAAATCACTTGGCACACACGTTCCCAGGAAAGGTGCCTTTCTCTGCTCCTGAAACGTGCTTTTCCTTCAAGCTACATGAGCCAACGAGACACAGGTGCTGCCACAGTGTGAGTGCAGAACCAAAGATGGGTCTCACTGTGTGTGAGATGTAAACCAGAAACACTCCAGCTGCCACAGCAGCTTCCCCACAGAATTTTTAAACTACTTTTTCCCATAAAGTAGTAAATGCATAATACCATCCTATGGATATAAAAATTCTTAGGAAAGTATCATGCAAAAGAAATACACACTTTTCACTTTCCAACAAGGCAATTGCAGCATGACATTTTTTTCAGCTCTAATAGCAACCTATGGAATAAAAAAAAAAAAAATCAGCAGCCAAAGTTTCTAAAGTTAGGTGCTTTTTCAGATAAAAGCTGCATCTGTATCATTACCTAAAGGAGAATGTGTTTCTCAAATCAGACACATTAGCCAAATAATGCCAATTAAATAAAATATCTTAATGGGACATTTTAATTAGCATGTTCGGAAGAAGGAAAACCAAATCATGTTCATGCATACACCTTTCTGGTTATTCAGAAGAAATCGTTCTAGCCAGAGTCCACAGGAGGGCATTGCTGCTTAAGAGATTGAAAACCAGACGTCTGAGCAGCCCCTTTCCAACACGACTTCCTGTGTTACCATATATTCTTAGTAAAAGCTGATGCAAAATAAACTATTAAGGAATTTTTTATATCCATTTTGTCATTCAAGAAACATAACTTTGTCATGCTATTTAATGGGTCCAAACTGCCAAGATTGAAAATGAATAACTTTTGGAAAAGAGCATGAAGGGCAATCGAAAAACATCATGAAGTTAGTAAGTTATCAATGTTTTATCTAAACCCTCATATAAACACAAAGTCATATCTTTTTAACTAGTTTCAACATCTTTTGTTACATCTGTGGCTTCCACTCTTGGCAGACATTGATTATTTTTTTAAGCAATTTATGGATATCACTTGAATTTTTAATGAGTTTAAGTATTTTTTTTGTATAGTACAATGCTCTAGACTTAGATTTAGTTTGACCTTTCAGCAGACAGAAAGCATTTTGAAATTTCATGCAGACTGCTGAATTCTGCATTCGCATTGAAGATTGTAATAATATCACCTTAGCTACACACACATTTCACCCAGATTTTTCTAACTGTGAATAGGTGGGAACAGATTTCCCACATCACTCTGAGATACACACAGAAGCAAAGATTTTTACTTACATAATTTCAATGAGATATTATTAGATTTTTGGAAGGCTCAGTCCTACCCAAATCAACACCTCAGGCAGAGTGTAATTGTGTGGTTCATAGGGACCATGTTGTGTAAAAGTACAACAGCACCACAAGCATTCCCAGCCTGGCACCTTTAGTTACAGGTGCAAAAACTTCTGAAAGGGGTACAGCTGTCCTTGAGAGAGCTCCTGCTTTTTTGGCCAAAGTTTCTCTTTCACTCTGTTCTGCTGTTTGCACTCTCATCTGCATAAACATCAAACCTGTGATCTTACTTAGGAGACTTTCAGGAACTACTACTGATCAGGAGAGGGTTTTTTGTTGAAAAAGATTAAAAAATAGTGAGAGGCAACTAGATAGACTTTTACCTCCCTAAAGTCTGAACATAATACTCCTCAGGATAAAAATCTCTACCTTGTGTAAATTCAGATGGGGAATAAAACACTACCCCTCTCTTGTATTTGCTTAATGCAAAAGAAGATAACCTATAGATAAAAAGGTAACAGAATAACCCACAGGTACTATTTCTTCAGTAAGTAGTATCAAAGTTTATCTGTTAAACAAAATCTTCCCTGGGCCCCTTCTAAGAGGAGTTTGCTGAAGAAAGAAACACACCTTTGTGAAGGGTGAAGTGAAAAGCCATCAGAGAATTGAATTTGCATCCTTTTCTTTGGATTTAAGTTACCATTTCTCCTTAAGCCCTGCCCTCCCTCCTCTTCCCTCTGAAGTTCAATTTCTCTTTTCCTCTTTCATCTTTTCATTCTTCTTTAATAATTCATTATTTCTTTCCTTCCCTTCTCTTTTCTAAAATTGTATATAAAAGCTGGCCATAATTTGAAGTGATGGGATGAAAGTAAGGCAGGAAAATACAGTGTTAAAAGTCAAGATTCTTGTGAAGGATCAAAGAATGTAGTGATGCTGTGTCAGATGTGAGAGGGGAGAATTTTCACTTTATCTTAGTCTGAGACAGACCAGGATCCTAAGTTTTGCCTAAGACCTGAAAGGAAGACCTGGAGCCAGCAACAATCTCAGCCATGCTCTGATCTTTTTCACCTGCAAATTTTTCATTAGGTATTTTTCAATAAAATTAAAATCTACTTGCTTTATTTTTTTTCCCCTTAGCTATTCCTAGACGCCAACTCTTTCTCATACCACAGAACCTCAGTAGGGTGTGTTTGTGGTACTTCTGCATGACTGATGTTAAACTTTGAGCACAGCAGGAAGAGCTGAGCTATGAAGCTCAGTAAGTACCTGTCTGAAATTAGCTGAAATTCAAGAAATTTTAAATGAGCTGGTGTGAAGAAAGACTTTCATGACAGGAAATAGCAATCTAGAACTCCTGGTTTTAATCCAGAAAATCAAAATGCTTGTTATAATTTGAAACATGCTGGAAAATTGAAACAGACTGAGATTAATGGGAAAAACCTTTTGATTATTTAAGTATTGCTTAATTAACAATTAGGACCCTGAAAGATGTCATGCCATGAGAACAGCAGGGTTTGGTGCTTACAGTGTTGTTATGAAAAGACTCTAGAATGAGAAAAAACAAACCAGAGATAAAAATTGTCATATTCCCCCCAAATCTGTGAGCTATTGAAATAATTCATTTTTTGGCAGAGACAACTTTTGGTAAAAGTGATTTGGAGAAGTTCTAGAAAGTTACAAAGAATTGAATCAGGGTTTGGAAAGTGGAATCTATTATAAAATAAGAATTTATGCAGTCACACTCCTATTACAATTACTCACATATCTTATCTCTTTTTCAGTGAGAAAGTAACTTGGCTGACCCAAAAAAATTAAGATGCTAACCTTCCAGCCAGGGAGTGTATTCATCTCCATCTCAGCTCTATGACAACTGAATAAGGTTCAGAAATTAGTCAACAGTTCATGGCATGACACGATTTTAAAAATTAATATGTTATTATAAGTCACTCATTTATAGTTATATCAGATTTTTAAACAGTTGACTTTTCATTCTAGGCATGAGCTAATTGAGAATCAAAATTGAGATCAGGCACCAAGGATATTGCAAAGGTGTCCTTTAGAGCTATGCAGCATAATGGAGTGAAACCAGGTAGTGAACATGAATTATTTTTGTGACAATTATCTCCAATTAGGAAAAAAAACTTCTGAGTCATGGAGCAGGACTTCAACTTTTACATGTACATCCATGGAGAAAAAGTCCCAGTGCATACTTAGCTGTTGCTAGTTTGGTCACATTATGAGCTATTTACTGAGAATCCCTTACTGGGCTGTTGATCTCTCCACAGAACAGGAAAATGTGAGGGGAGTGTGTTTTTCCTCCATCACAGCATATTATCTTACTTTCATGGCATTAACCAGCACATCCAACACTAACATGAGATTTCCAATTATTCTTGTTTACTTTTCTACGCCTCTTTGAAGTGCTATGAACAACAGTATTTATTAGGAAGCAATAATCCAGCAGAGAGATTTGCCGGTGTTGATTGACAAGAAGTTCAACATGAGCAGGTAAAATATGTTTGAAATATCTGACTTTGTCCTGGGCTGCATCACCAGCAGCGTGACCAGCAGGATGGTGGAGGTGGTTCTCCCTCCCTCCTGCACTCTTGTGAGACCCCACCTGCAGTGCTGCATCCAGCGCTGGGGCTCCCACGTCAGGAGGCTGTGGATCTGCTGGAGCAGGTCCAGGTGAGGCCATCAGGGTGCTATGAGGGCTGAGGGAGCTGAGAGTACTCAGCCTGACAAGGGAACGCTCCAGGGAGAGCTCAGAGTCCTTCCAGTGCCTAAAGGGGCTCCAAGAGAGCTGGAGAGGGACTTTGGACAAGGGTCTGGAATGGCATGGCGAGAGTGAGTGGCTTTGTAGTGACAGAGGGCAAAGTCAGGTGGGATTTGGGAAGAAATTCTTGACGTGGGGGTGGTGAGTCATTGGAAAAAATCACCCAGAGAAGCTGTGGCTGCCCCATCTTAGGAACTGTCTTGGAAGTGACTTCCATTCCTTGGAAGTGTCCAAGGCTGGGTTGGATAGATCTTGGAACAGCCTTATCTAGTGGGAGGTGTCCCTGCCCATTGGAACTGGATGATCTTTAAGGTCCTTTCCAACCCAAACCTGTCTGTGATTCCATGACCCTTCAGAGATGCTACAGGGCTCTGAATCAGCCCTTGGCCAATCTACTGTTAAAGAATTTATTCACATGGGAAGCTGAGAAATTGTAAATGTGCATCTCTGCTAAATCTTATTTCTCAAAAAGGAGGCTGAAACAGGCAGAAACAAGGACTGCTGCACAGGTACATAGGAAAAACAATTAAGCAAAAATTTAGAGTGATCAACCATCAGCAAAGATTCCTGCTGGCCAAGGAATCATGTAAATGCCAGAGCAAAAGGTGAACTTAGAGGAGTTAAATCTTATTTTTCACCAATAGGTTGTTGCCGATGCTACACAAGTTATCACAAACATTAAGTTTAAAAGCCTATTATGGCACTTCACCTATCACTTAATACTGAGCAATTTAAAATGACAAGACCATTGATAAAAAGTAAATACAATTCTGCTATCCATTAACCTTTTTTGCAAACAGACACTCCAGCATTTGGCTGAAAAAATACATTGTGATCCCTCCTCCAGAGCCATGGGTCCCACTTAGTATACATACCTTTGACATCAGGATTAAACACACCAGGAGTAGCTACACCCACAAGCCTCTGATGCTGGATGTGATCTAATTCACAACAGGTTGCAACACAATAAAATCCACATGAGGCAGCAGGCTGATGCAACTGTAAAACCAATGGTTCATATGTTAAAGAGTCCACTTTTTCCACAAATGAAGGACTGCATACAGAATTATATTAGAAACAGAGGCATGTGTAAATAAGCTAAATGACCTTTGAAATTTAGAAATAGAATAGGAACATCTTTTCATTTTATTGACTTATTTACTTCATAAGTAGATATGCATTTTTATGGCCTGTTCTGATGCTTATCACATTGCATGTTCGGGTCCTGATTAACTTCCTGGGGTTACACTACAACCAGCAGCAGAATTTCTAAAGTACTTTGGAAAACCTTTGTTTTTATAGTAATATCGACGTAATCCAACCCAGCAAGCTCTAGAAATGCTTTACAAAATATATTCCCATTGCTTGATTACAGCATTTTTGGTTAAAATATCAGAATTCCCAAACCACAATTAGAATAAAAATCACTGGTTTAAACTAAAGAGAGGGAAGTTTTATGGGGAGGTGTTAAGGCAGTCTTCCTAGTAGTCAATTAGGCACTTGAATACCTAGTCCAAGATCACCACAGATGGTTAAAAAACAGTCTGGACAAACACATCATGAATAGACTCAAATACATGAAAAGCAGGATGTTTGGCTGGCTGGTCACAAAGGCTCCCTCTACCCTACATGTATTTTATTTGTATACTATAGCATGACAACCAAATATATTTTTAGATAATTAGTTCTGAATTGCACTTCAGTACAGCATCAGTATTGCTCATCCTACTGCTTTTTGATAACCATTCTCTCAAAAAAAAACAGACTGAGATACTGCAAGTTAAGTGGACCCAGGTAAAAATGCAAGAGTTTATATAGCAATTTACTAGATTGCAGGTCCTAAGAAAAGCAGTTCCTTTCCCACTCCATAAATGTTCATTCTAAATATTTAGTAAGCTGAATGCTTATTTTTATAAACATGTCTCTACAAAACATATGGACTCTTACTGAAAAAACACTAAAAAAAAAAAGCCCCTTTTCACTATGAGCTAGTGCAGTTTGCCATGCCTTCCTTTCAGGAATTGTCTTTATCTGAGAAGTATAAGCTAAAATATCAATTTATAATGAAAACCTGATTATCTTAATTGCAATAAAGCAAATGATACACTTAATAGGATGTGCATGCTCTTTCCAAGCAGCTTATTGTATTGCTGTATCAATTAAGAAAGCAATATGCCATCTGCAGATGTTTATGTATGAAATCCTGCAGAGGGAAAACATTTGAACTACAGAACAGATAAAATAATCGAGAATTAAATTGCATGATAAGGTGTTTCACAGGGTGGAGGGAAGCAGCACAGTGGAGGAAAATCCATCCCCATGACTACTGGTCCTTCCTCCTCCCTGCTCACTGTTCATCTCCTCTTGAATTCCAGAGCTTGTTTTATTCCTCAGCAGCCTTCCTACAGCCTGGCAGATTCAGTACTGCTGGAAAGTGGGGATCTGTGGTTTGTTACAGACAGAGAAGAAAGGAGAGTTTAAGTATTGCTTTAGGAGACATGGCTTTGCTCTGGATTCTTTTATACAGAAAGAAGATGTGCTTGCTGCCTCTGAGGGAAAAGAAAAATTGTTAAAGCAGTGTGGATATGACGTGAATTTTTCATCAGGTAAGAAGTCAGAAAATCAATAAAACTATTACAAAAGTTACTGAAATGTTTTTTAAAGCAATATTTTATTCTCTATAATCTATATTTAAAATTGAATGTAAATTTTTCTCTACATTTTAGCTGTGCAATACTTAGGAACTTAATAAACAAGGTTTGTAATTGAAACATTTACTGGTCACCTTGAAAGGACAGGACTGTTCATCTTTAGCATAGGTAAGAAAATACTTAGGAAAGAAAACCTTTCTAAAACTCATTTTATTTTAGACCTTTCTTTTGCTTATGAACGTTTCAGTAATGATTCTGCAGATAGATGAATGTAACAAGACCAGGGGGTTTATAATATCTTACAGTGATAGAGAATCTTTTCCAAAATGCATGGATTAGGGGTTGAAGTAATTAGTACTTTTTGTTAAACACTTCAATTCTGGTGTCAGCTGTAGCTGCAGTCCAAGGATGCTGATTCCAATAACATTTATTTATTAGATTAAAAAATGCCAGCATGTATTACAATATATTCAACATGCTGTAGCAAATACTAGAGTAACTTATTTTTTAACACTATGAATACTCCAGATGTTTACCAAGACAGGTGAATTTGTTTTATTTCCAAGGAAATGTTTAAATTGCCTCACAGAATGATGTGTACTAAAGACTGCAGTCTTAAACTCCCAAAACCAACAAAAGAGTGAAAAGAAATTACACATTTTCCTGAGAAAAGGACAGTGTAGATGGAGAGTGTGCCTAAAACAGGTGTACCAAGTGAACTGATTCGGTCAGTACAGGGACTTTTCCCAAACAGAAAATGCCAGAGAAGCCCTAGCATCCTGAATTCTTGGGAGAGGACATTCAGAATTTGCTGTCAAACTATGTTGTGCATCCATGGAGAAATAAGCAAGCTTAGCAAATAGTGCATAAAATATTACAAACTTGGCTCAGCCTCATGGCCTTTTGAGTCCCCCACCTCTTCTCCTGCTCATATAAAAAGCTGGGAAGAGCAGAGTTTGTCTTTGAAGGCATCAGATCTGTGCCAGCCAGGTGAACAGCACAGGCACTGCAGAGAAAGATCACCCCTTGGGGCAAAGCAGCCAGGCTTTAGATCCTCACACTTCTGAAGTGCAGGAAATCTCACTGGGGCAACCACTGCCACTGCTGGTGGTACATCTACCACTCAGTGCCTCTGTCCTTCCAGCACATGCATCCTTGGGTGTGAGAAAGCAGCCAGGCAGTGAGTGCTGCTCCAGGGAAAGGTGGGTGCCAGTGCACTCCAGGAATCAGGTGTCCCAAAGGGGCTGCTGCCCAAGCACACCATGGGGTTCTGCAAGGGGCTGGCAGTGACAGTCCCTGGCCTCTCCCCCTCGGGAGCAGAAGAGTTTGTGGAGCCTGGTGGGCACACAGTGGAGTACCCAGCTCTTGCTCTTGCCCTACTGGAGTAGGGACACCTTCAATGGACTGCAAAATCTATCAGAGCCACCAGACTTCCATAATTATTGCACCAGGATTGTAGAGTTTTTCATGTCATTCCCCAGTATGGCTTTAACCAAGCCAAGTACATTCTTTAGGGAGACTCTGCAGGGCTTAATGCCAGCCCTGACTACAATTCAGGTCATTTTTGGGACATCAGGGCCACACAGAGTCACATATATCTACAACTACTTCCCAATCCAATATGAGTATGCTGATTGAAAAGGGTATTTCAATCAGAGTTAGAGTGGTAATAGATGCTCTAAAGGTGAGCATGGTGTTTTGTAGAGATTTTTAATAATCCTAATTTGAAGCACGCAAACTTATATCAAATGGAAGTATCAGGATAAAGCAGTCCAGGATATAACTCTGGCTGGAATATTCTTTGAGTGAGGGAAAAAACCTACAGAATCATAATTACAGTTTAACCCTGGATTTAGTGTTTAATTTTTTATAGGCAACCAAATACATTTTTTTAAATCCTTAGTGATTAAATAATGGCAATCATTTCTGTGAAAGGGCTGACAAACCTACACATAAGCAGATTTTTCCTAGTAACAATAAAACATCCACCTATCCCTTTTTGTGTATCCTCTAACTTCCCACTGCTTCTTCATTCTCCTTACTCCACAGGCTCTCAACACGATTACTAGGGGTGAAGAATGATCTTCTTCCAGCTTGTTTTCCAATAACTCCACAGGGGAATTAAGGTAAGTTAAAGCTGAGTTTTGAAAGATATATGTGTAGAACATATATCCATGACCCATTTTTAAATTTTAAAATAACTCTTTTAATACTTAGCTTTTCCTTTCCCAGGTTGGAAACAAACTCTTTCTGGCTAGAAAGCTGGTGAGCCTTTAAATTAACTTTTGCACTCAGTGATAAATTCAAACCCATCAATATATTATGTTGAACCTAACTCTTCCCATTAATATAAGTTTTAAAACCACAGAACTGTGCTAATATCATATTTTTTTCTTGACTCCTGTTTAAGTTAGAGCTGAAAGAGGAGTTACTTTCTGTACAACTACAATGTGAGCTTTTTTTTGTTTACATTTTTCTCAGGTGAGATTTAGGAAAAAGGACATACTATCTTCAATGCATCAGTAGAACAGGAAACTCCCTTTAGATATCATTCATAGAGGCTTTGAATGCCATTTGAGCTCAAGCACACATAACTTTGATTAATTCAGGAGGATTGAGTGTATTAACTCACATTGCTTTGTAGTTCTAAAGAAAATCTAAGTGTGATGTCTAAGCTAGCAGAGTGATGGCACGACCCAATTCTTCTTTTCTGGTAATACAAAAGCAACAGATTATCCTCATTGGAATCCATTAAATCTTCTTAAACCTTCAGCAGAGACAGATCTTAGAATACTTTATTCTGAAAATCAAACTTTACCCGCAACTGGTAAAGGAGGTTTTGTGCGAAAGTGTCTGTACAAGTTTAGCCAGAGCTGCTATCACAGCTATTTCTTGTGCATCAGTTATAGACCAGTTAGTGCAGAATTTCAGAAAGGTGACATCAACCTCCTTCCACAGAGACACACAAACCCACTAATAACCATGTGCTTTTCCAGTATTGTAATTAATCATGTTAGATTTGCTCAAAACTCTAAGGACACTGACTACAGTAATAGACCCACAGTACTCACTGCTTTGAAAATCTCCATGCAAAATATATTCTAAATAATACAAGGTTTTGTCCATAGGTTGGAAGATGCTTCAGGATGGATAAAGCTGTTCAGCATCCCAGCGAGATCCTGAATCAAACTGTCTCTAACATTAGCCTTTCTCAGTTCTTGAACTTTGATACATGCCAACTTTCCTCCCTTGCAGAATTCTTGCTTATTACAGCTTACACATTGGTTACACTAGTGGGGCTTGTAGGAAATCTTTGCTTAATTATTATAATAAAGAGACGGAAAGAAGCTCAAAATGTCACCAACATTTTGATTGCCAACCTCTCTTTATCAGATGTCTTGATCTGTATCATGTGCATTCCTGTCACAGTTGCATATACCTTAATGGACCACTGGATATTTGGGGAAGCAATGTGTAAAATAGGCTCTTTCATACAAAGTCTATCTGTCTCAGTCTCCATTTTCTCACTTGTACTCATTGCTGTTGAGAGATACCAGTTAATTGTGAACCCACGGGGCTGGAAGCCTAATATTTCACATGCTTATTGGGGAATTCTTCTCGTCTGGGGGCTTTCCCTCATCATATCCACTCCTTTTTTAGTATTCCACCAAATAACAGACGAACCCTTCAAACATTTGTCTTTCTACAGTGATTTCTACAAGAACAAGGTTGCTTGCATTGAAGCGTGGCCATCTCTTACAGAGAGACTGATTTTCACCACCAGCCTCCTGGTTTTCCAGTACTGCTTCCCACTGGGGTTTATTTTTGTCTGCTATCTCAGGATATTTGTATGTCTTAGACGGAGACAAAGTAAAATAGACAGGATGAGAGAGAATGAGAACAGGCTGAGTGCAAACAAAAGGATCAATATGATGCTGATATCAATGGTTGTGACCTTTGCAACTTGCTGGTTGCCTCTCAATATATTCAATGTGGTTTTTGACTGGAACTACGAGGCACTAATGAGCTGTAATCATAACCTGGCATTTACAATCTGCCACCTTGTGGCCATGATCTCAACATGTATCAATCCCATCTTTTATGGATTTCTGAACAGGAACTTCCAGAAGGATTTGGTAGTGTTAGCTCACCACTGCAGATGCTCAGCATCACAAGAGGAATATGAAAATATTGCCCTTTCAAACCTGCAAACAGATGCATCTAAAGGGTCTCTGAAGTTAAATAATCCCCATGTGGATATATAAAATAATCTAGTTGCAGCTTCCAAAATTCTGTATTTTGCTGCAGATGGCCTTTTTCTGTTACCACCAAGTTTAGAGGAAGTCTGCCATTTAATTCAGCAAAACCAGGATTATGCTGCCATAGGCATAGTTCCTAACAGGTACTTTATGATAGTATTAATGCTGGTAAAACCACTTAGAACAGGCCTAAAGATCAATCATAATAAATTATAAACAGTATTAACATCTTACTTTTTTTCCAATAAAAATGTTTCAATTTCAGCCACTGACGGGGATGTCCTTCCTAAACACCTGGCTTCCCCCAGCTAAACCCTGAACACTGTGGTATTCCTAATTCAGCAGCCTTTCACACACTGTTTTCTAGCATTTTTATTTTCCAGCCCTACACCAATACCCTCCCTGATGAATCTGCAGTTTAGAGGCAGTTCACACTGTAAGAAAGGCCCCTAAAGTTATCCAAGACTCCACTGCCTTCCTTTCAGCCCCCTCATGCACTTTGCTTTGGCTTAGTGGCAGTTCAGCCCAGAAATTGTATTTTAACAAGGGAAAAGGGTAGAGCTGGACTTGTTTTATTATGAACACTAAAACAGGACCCATTTGATGTACTGCAAGTTTCACTCAGAATGATGTTGCTCAAGATGAAATTTGAACATTTCTCCTAAAAGCATTGCATTCTCCAAAGCACCAGTAAAGGTCATTGTTTTTCTCTCTTACCATCATCACTGCTCCTTACAGCAGACCTTTTAGAATCTCCATTATCAAAACAACCCACTACGAATTCAGAGTAAAATTTGTTTTGGCTACTTACTTGGATTCTCTTTGAGTTGAAAATTAGGTTTGCATTTTAATTTCAGCTATATTTTTCCCCACATTTCTGCACTAGCAAGAGGGCACACTTGAGCAGATGTGGTCATTTCTGTTCACAAAAATACAGTTTCTGTGTTTCAAAGCATTTTCTTTAGTAACACACTACAAAGAAGCCTAAAGGGATAATACTGAACAGAATTTTTTTTTAAACTAAAACATTTTAAAAACCACTTTCCAGTGTGGCCATAAAAAAATAGCCAAACTTCTTCTTCATCCGTGATATAGTGGCAACATAAATAATCAGTTAATGTTGAGCTATTTAAACACAGTACTTAGAACACTTTAGTCCAAAAATTCACCATGCTTCCTCTTGTTCAAATTAAATATAATTAATTACTTGTACTGCTAAAGCCCCTTCTTTTTTTTCTTCTGAGTTTCAAAGCACCCTGTTCTAATACTTGTACATAAAGTTCCTTGTAAAGTATTCTCTAACTTCAGCAATTTATTAATGCCCCACTTAAGCAAAAATAATTCACATTCAAATTACAGTGAGCTCCTTGATGACTCAGCTGTGATGAAACTCACCTTAAGGCTATGAAGTTCTCTTGGAGAGGTAACAGTGCTTTCCTTACCCATCCAGTTCCTAAAGGGCACAGTTCTTGTTCCAGCATCAGTTCAGACTGTCTGCACTGCTCTGTTCAGCAGAAGAGCTCTGTCAGAGGAGCCTCACCAGCCCCTGCAGATGCTCAGGTTTGTTAAGTAACCCTTGATTCACACTGAGATAAAAGTCCTCGGTGAATCTCTTCATGTCTGAGCCCATAGAAGTCAGAAGGGCAGCTTCAGCACAAGAGAAAGAATGGTAGAATTAGTGACATGGTAATCAAGAATCTGAGTGATAGGTATGGATTAGCTTTGGCATAATTTAGGGGTTTTTTTCTAATTAAATCAAATATCACGCATGTGGAATTGATTATGCAATCTTAACCCCTGCCTTGTGCATCACAGAGAAGAAACCAGGAGACAGCTAAATACCTAAAAAGGGCCAATGATCAGACTGTTGAGAGTATCTCAGCATTAACTATTGCTGTGAACTTCAACCCAGGTCACTGGGCTGCCTTTATTGCTGATGCACATCATCTGTTTGTTCAGCACAACAGGCATTTCATCAGGTTAAAAGCAGTGACTTGCAGCCAGTGACACTGGGGCCATGCAGGGTCAGAGGGGCTGGCTGTGCTCTGGTGAAGGGATGGAGCTGCTTCTTTCACCACTGAGACTCCTGGGTCACAAAGTGATCCACTGTCTTCATTGCACCTGGCTAAACTGAGAGCAGATCTGACCCAGGAACTTCACTTTTCTTAGGCATCCCAGTACCTGTCTTAAAAACCATTTACTCCTGTCAGAAGGATGTTTCCTGAACAGTGTTTTAACAAATGCTGGTGCCACACCTGCTAGACTGGGCTATCAACAGTATTTCCCTAGGTTTTGAACACAAATCTCTATCACCATCTTCCTCAAATTTAAGTACACTGTTTACAGCTTCTGGGCCCATGCTTAAAGAATTTTACAAGCACATGACATTCACAATTTACTCTAATTTATTAATACTAGCACAGCAGTTCAGATTGCTGTCATTGGCAAATGTCTCAGACGGTATTTAAAGTCTGAATCAGGCCCAGCTGAAATTCCCATGTGTGAACTTGGCCTAAGTGGCTCCCATCCCATCCCATCCCATCCCATCCCATCCCATCCCATCCCATCCCATCCCATCCCATCCCATCCCATCCCATCCCATCCCATCGGCCCAGTGTGCTTACTTTTACAGCAGAGGTGGCTTTAGTATCATGTCCCAGGCAGTTTTAAAGCAATCATGAAATGAATTCTGGTTCAGATTCTGTGATGCTGATGGATGGTCTCTCCATAGAAGTGCTTGGACAGTATGTATTAGACAGGCATAAAAAAGAAGATTGCCATCATTTTTTTTGCAATAGCAATTGTCTACTCCTGACACCCTGATCAGAGTTAAGCACTCAATTTTTCCTTCCAGTCTGAAAATCTTGGTATAAGAGGGTTCTTCATTAGCAGGTGGGAGCTCTCTGAGCAATGACACTGCTTCAGAATCAAAAGTGAACAATAACACTTGTGCCTTGATTTCTCCTTCTCATTTTTTCTCACACTTTCACTTGACTCAAGTGTTGATGGATGCTGCATTTCTGTTCTGAGCATTCAGTCATCAAGCATCTCTCCTTGATGCTGCACTTGTAACAATCATTGTTAACAGAGCAGAGGATTCTCACTGCCTCAGACGTCGCCCTCAGCGCTGCACATTCTCTCACCACATCCACTGCCTCCCTGTGCATCCTTATACTGGACTTCCAAGCAAGTCAGCAGGAGCCAATTGACTGTGACAGGAATAGGAACAAAGAGTAATTACTTGTTGTTAAAGCATAAGTATTATGGGCTCCAACCTGATGTGTGACAGCGGTAAAGGTAACTGCAATACCTGATATTTAAAGTTGCTCAAGTTAAACTGGCAAATGTTGCCCTGTCTTGGGTAATACTGATGACTTTATTTTCACTTTTTTTTATTGGTATAGCCAAGTAGAAAAAAATACTAACAGCATTTCTCAGCAGAAAGTTGTTACCTGATGCAACCAGCTGGAGAACTGTGAGCTTCCTTGGGGAAGCAGCACCATGGAACTAACTACAGAAAGCTGGAGGGGAAGCTTGTACTCCAGATGCTATTCCAGTGTAGAAAGTCTTAGTTTTTAAAAATAAAAACTGTATCAGAGATTTGTTTGAGTGGTTTGGTCATGTAGACCAATATATTTATAAACATCCTTGTAAATGAACTGTGTCCTTATATGTCTGTGTATTTTATGGTTGATTGGTTTCACTTTAACCACCTATAACCTTATAACTAGGGTTAGATACTTGGGAGCTTCCATTCACTGTGGAAATGATTCCACTTTTGAGCAAAGAGCTCAACTGATTATTGACTGTAATCCTGTCTGTGGACAAAGGCAGTGCCAGTGCTGTGTGTGATTTAAAGACTTTGATTTCTCCCATTGACTGACAAATAAATATTACCCTGTGTAAAACCTTCCCCCTGCCCAGCTGGTGAATTGTACTGCCTATAACTGGGATAGGACACTTCTCATTCAAATGGGGCACCAGAGCATCAAGAATCACCAAAAGGTCCAAAGAAAGATCCAAAGTTCCAAGAGAAATCCAGAGCTGCTGCAGGTCAAAGGGATGGCCATGGAGCCAACAGGGCACAGCTCAAGGGCACAAAGATACTCAGGAAGGGACCAGACAAGACTTCAGATGTGTGAGGGAGCTGATGACCCAGAGGAGACAAATGAGAAGGAGGAGAGGACACAAAAACTCTCTGAGGAGAAGGGGTGACCTCCAGAGATGTCCTGACAAACCCAGAGAGGTACAAAGTACACTCCAGAGATAGCAGTGTGCTATGGTCTTCCTTTAAAGCATCAGGATGAGAGAAGAGGGGGGAAAAAAGACACATAGAAAAATTAAAAAGCAACAGGGTATGTGACAAATGAGAAAAAAAAACTTTAAAAAATAGGAATAGCCAGCTCAATAAAAGGAGACAGAAAGAAAAATTTTAAAAGCTAAGGGGTACACGGCAGAGGAAGAAAAAAAATGAAAACAGGGACAGAAAAATAGATAAAAGTAGAGACAGAAAAGCAATTTTAAAAATGAGAGGAGAGCAAATCTATAGAAAAACTTTAAGAAACCTCACAATGAAGGGTCAGACAGGCTGTGGAATTGAGTGGAACCTCACAGACTCCATAAACAACATTGTCCCTTCAATTCTATGTTAATAAGACACTTAGAAATATTCCACAATGGCAACTGTAGAATTATCTTGTCTGCTATCACTCATTTTTAAACAAGGTTCCCTTGGTTTCCATGCAAATGCACTGACTGATGCCTTTTATTTAATTTCCATTTCATTTCATTTCACTTCATTTCATTTCTTTCATTTCATTTCATAGATTTCTCCATTAGTCACAGGCTATTTACATAATGTGATGGAATTGGCACGTGTGGAGCTATTCTCCTCAGAATTCACTTCACCCTCATACCTGATGAGGAAAACCTGTTAATTCATGTAGATGTCAGGGTTGTAACAGCTCCATGAATTAGTTCTTCCAGCCAGGGATGGCTACTAGAGTCACAAGAAGCTCTGAAAGTTTGGGTTCCCTCTAAAGAGAATCTCTGACCCACTTTGGCAGCTCCATTTTTGGTTGGAGACTCCTGCAGTGCTTAATTACATGGAATCAGAGCTGCAGCACGGAGGGGCACAGATCTCCCAGGCACACCTGCAGTGAGTCCTGCACAGCCTTCACCTCCTCAGGCTCCCAGGGTCCCCTGACACTGCCCACACCCCCAAATCTCTCCTGTCCTCAGTAAGGGCCAACAGATCTGTCACTAGCAGGTTACAACATGACTGCTTTTGGGACCACACTTCTCTGGGTGGTAGAGTTGTGTCAGATGAGTCCATGCATTCATTTCTACCTTGAAGCTGTCTCAGGATTTGCCATAATTACTACTACTAAAAGCCAGCCCATGACTGTAGTCTGATCAAATTCCCACATTTTCTGAAGTAACTGGCCAGTGGAAGCTGTTCAATCCCCATCAGATTATTGGGTTTGGGAATGGGGGTGGTACTGGGATTTTGTTTGCTTTTCAAAGAAATGCAACCACTGTTTTCCTACACAGGGGAAGTAAACCTAGGCATAGGTTTATACCTAGGTTTAGAGTAAAAGTCAAGAATCTTTTTGTGAATAGAAAAAAAGGAGATCCCACAACAGTTTCTCCAGAGCCAATTTCCCATTCTTCTGAAATATCCTTAACAAAACTGTCTAGCTGTCCCCTGTCATAAGGACAGGAACCCAACAGCAACCTCACAGTCCTTACCCATTCCCAGTGCCTCTCGGGCAGATTCCACTGCTGAAGGAGCTCTCTTCAGCTGCAGGAATCAATGCCAAACAGCCTGAATTTTGGGGAAGGGGCTTAACTCTGAAGTGGCAGGGAAGGAAGTGAATTTGATAGAGCAGAACATAGCTGAGACAAGATCTCAGCAGAGCTCAGACCCTGGAAGAGACTCAGGAAGATTCTGCAAGAAAATGGAGATAGAGTTTACAAGTCTCTGAGTAGATTGTAACAGCATGTAAAAACAACAACAACAAATATATATATATATATATATATATATATATATATATATATATATATATATATATGTGTGTGTGTGTGTGTGTGTGTGTGTGTGTGTTTGTGTTTAACTCAACACACAGGCAGCTATCTGGGGTGCCAGAGAAAAGATTGTACTTGAACATGATGTCTTCACAGGATGCTTTTACAAAGAAAAAAAAAAAGACACAGGAACCATTTCATGATTCAACTTGCACAGGTGGAAGATCTACCTACAAACTGCAGCCATGCCCAGAGAATTAGGGGAGACAGGCAGTCCTTGCAGGAGCACAAAGCCATCAACACCTGAGATGTCAGTGAGGGACTCCCAGGTTTGTCCTGCAGGGCCTGGGAGCTCTCAGAGCAAACAGCAGGGAGGGCCCAGGACAGCGATTGCCCAGCTGGGTGCAGGGTGGACACTTCACACCCTCGCTGGGTGGCTCTAAGTTTAGTGGCTTTTGAGGAGCAGCAAAGTAAAAGTCAGAGGGACCTCACCACACCCCCAGGGTAAACATTTGGGAGGCAAATTAGTCAGCAAATAATCTCTTTCACTATGTCCAGGCCACTATTTCACCATTTGTAAGGAATATCCTTGCCAGTCAGCCTAGCAATGCTGTCAGCATGGCATGATACCCATACACATTTACACTTCAGCATTTCAGACGGCTTTAAGGGTCTTAGTGCTTCCAGCCCTTCTTTCCCAGACCTTTCTGACGGTGTGAGCAGGTCAAGTTCTCACTTTCACCGATGCACCGTGCACCCCTGCCCTGGAAAGAAAGCAGAGATCTCCTCCTTGGGACTGGTGTTCGCCAGCACCACACACGTGCCCAAGGCAGGCTGGGCTTTCCCCTGGCATTGCCCCAGGCACCTCTGTCTGCAGCTTTTGGTGGGTGGGAGCAGGGGGGAGCTGAGGAAAATGTCACCCTGCGGTGGTTTTGTGCCACCATCCATGTTAGTGACCATGAACCTGATCCCAAGAGAGCAGCACGTTCTCCAGGGGCACCCACAGCCTCTGAGAGCTGCAGAGCCTCCTGCCAACCCAGCAGGGTCAGTGCTCGGCAGACAGAACCCCCAACACCTAACCCATACTGAGGGCATAACAATCTTTTTGAAATGCTCTTTATTAACTAAAACCTGCTAAAACTTTGCCTGCTTTTAGGGATTCAAACAAAAGCATTGACATACTGCACTGAGTGGTCAGCTGGAGGAAGGGAAGTCCTGTGACTGACTGGGAACAAGATTCCTGGCTTCTCATTAAAGATGAACTTGAGACTCCTTTAAAAATTTGGCACAAAATTAGCATTGAGTCCCAAAACAAAATCTGAGTTGACTGAAAGGTCAACAGACACAGGGAGATAATTACTGCTTGATGTTCCAGGAAACCCAAGCTCTGACACTAAATTTAAAAAGAAAGCCTTTGATGAATGATAACAAAAACTTTCTTTCTTTCCATCCCCATCATGCAAGCAGACCAGACACAGACATACTGAGGGCATTATGCAAGAAAAACCCAACAATCATGGAAGTTCAAGTATCCTGTTAAACCTCACATCTTTATTCATTGACATTCACAAAAATCAAATATTTCAAGGGGAAAGGTTTTGGGGGGTTTTTTTTGTTAGCATAATTTACTTTGCTGGCTTATCAAATTACAGAGTAGATTGGCTTTTGCTTTGAGCTCTTGCCTCTTTCTATAGGAAAATACACATGTCTTAAGATTTTAGGAATACTCAAGCCATGTTAATATGCTGAGGTGAGTGTTAAAATACTTTCAGTGTGTTTCTGCATGGAGGGGATCTGCAGCAGCTGTACAAAAGGCATCTGAGAATAGCAACAGCAAGTTATGAGCAAAAACAAATTATGAACAAAGAAAAACTATGAACAGTCAAATTAATTTAATCAAGGGTTACTGTACATCTGCTGCTAAGAAATAATAGCTGCTTCTTGTTTTCTTGGAAAAGCTAAAAAAAGTCAGCTGCTAGTTTAACAACTAAGTTGCATTTTAAAATATGCAGAATGACTGAACTGTTGAGGATGTGAAGGGGCCTCTTGATATCATCTAATCTAACCCCCCATGCACAGTAAGATAAAATGCTTTTTCTGAAGTAGAATCATAAATTCATGCAATTAAAACATCACCAGAAAGCTGCTCCTGGGTGGCTGTCACAGAACCACCACTGCCCTCACCAGATGTTTGGTGCTGCTCCGCTTCAGGATCTCCCCACTCTGAAGGATTATATTTTTTTCTGTCCCAGTTCATGTTGCTGACAAACTGGGAGCTGAAGTCTCTCAGGAAAACCAAAATCTCCCAGTGGAAACTGCTTCAGCTGCCAGCATGAAGGCAGAGGTGAGTAGACACGATGTGGAGCTGCTGATGGAGGAGGCATGAGCCTGGTATGTCTGGACAGATGTGCAAGCAAAAAGACAATTATGTTTTCCTCTTTTTTTCATGCAACAGACCAAAGCAGGGCTGAAATCAATACCAATTCGTTTCCTGCCGACTTCGTCTGTGGGATCCTGATGGGTTTGAAAGTTAATATTTGAGTACCTGGTACAGAGAGAGAAACAGACACCAGCAGAACGACCTTAGATGACCAGAATCCAGAGATCCTGCAAATTACTGCCATCTGCATTTTATATTAAATATATCTAGGGGATGCTTGTCAAGTTTGATCTTCATTAATATCTGTCAACCTTTTATACTGACTTCACTTGCTTTACCTTGAGAGCAATTGAGCTGCTCCCCGAGGCAGGCATTACTCACATGCACCTTTAACAATCAGATTAACAATCAGTGCCTGGTGCCCAGCGCTGAAATGAAATCTGAACACAGCACACAGCCTGGCCCCACCTCCAGCCCTGTCTTGGAGAGGTCCATGCCCACCATATGGTGATCCTGCTGCACCTCTGCTATTTCTAGCTTCCAGCATTATTGGAATTGTAATGCAAAGATTTATAAATAAGGTTTTGGTGCCAAGATGTCTGCTCAGCACACCATAAACCTTTCTTGCAGGTAGTTGAATCAGCATTGTGCTATGAAGCCATCATAATACAGGTAAACACACCCTGCTCTTCCTTTACCCAAGTCCTCAGACCTACTTTTACTCACTTTGCTTTCTCTCCTGCTCTTCTTGCAAACCTGTGTGTCTGGGTTTAAATTTGCTTGGCCTCTGACATTATTTAACCAGATGGAAAGAAAGCTAACTTTTACTCTGGGCAATGAAATGGGTCCTTCACTCGTTGAAAACCTCATTCTGCCACTTACCCAAGACCCACACTCAGCACAAGGTGCCAGCACAGGCAGTCCTGGCCAGCCCTGTGCCCCCACCCCATGCCCAGCCCTCTGGGCACTGCTTCCACATCAAGTCAGGTGGAAAACCAGGTTCTGACAACTCCTTCTTTATCAAAAGTTGCCCATATCCCAGTGTCAGGAAACACTAAAAATAAAATAACAGTTCCCCTACAAGCATCAATTTCTAGATAAATTGTTCTCAAGAATTTTTGGTAGAGCAAACACTCCTTTCAAATCAAATGATTCAGGCTGTATAAAACCCATTCTTTTTACCCTACTGTTCAGTGTTTAGGTTAATCTCCTGTCTAGTTTTAACAGCTCAGCAGTCATCCTCCTGCAAAAATGAACACTTTGCAGTCCTAATCAAAAAGCCTTGAAAGGCTCCAGAATTCCCAGGGGGTGACAGAGGTACAATGAATTTTTCCTTCACACAGTGAGGAACCCACTTAAATGTCCCCAGCTGCAGCCAAGACAGAAATCTGGCTCACACAGCACTGGCTTCAGTGCACTGAGTACATCAAAAATGAGTCCCTCTGGTGCCAGAGGTAGGAAACATGGTTACAGAGAGGGGAAGGTTTCTCCCAGATTGAGTTTCCAAAATACATATGGGGAATGGATTGCTCCTTCTCAAAGCTCATCACCCATTTTTAGAATCCTCCAGTGCTCGGTTTGGTCTCTCTGGATTTTCAGTTTCCCTTTCCCTCCTTCTCTCTACCACTCCCTTACTCACTGGGAAAGAATAGAGATAATATTTCTCACAGGATTTAGCAAGAACATCTACATGATGCAAGGAGACAGCACCAAGATTTTACAACCTGTAATTCAGGTTTTCCAATCAGGACAGTGAAAATCGAAGATTTGATTTGCGGGGGGGGGGGGGGGCAAAAGCAACCAAACACCCTGAAAAACCCCAAAAAACCAGAAAAAATAAACAGACCAAACAAGCAAACAAAAAAACAAAAATAAAAATTACCAATGACAAAAAACTGAACCAAATCCATCCAAAAAAAAAAAAAAAAAAAAACTAAAACCACAACAACAAAAGTCAAAAACCCACAAAACACAATAATAAATCCCACAGACAAAAGCCACAGCAAAGCACTAACACACTCTGGAACTTTTACCAGCCATCATGTATAGATTAAAAAGTTGTTTGAATTTACTTGGGTAAATTTTAAATTAAAAAATAACTACTACAAAGCCTTAAGAATCAAATGTTTGATTTTGGCACCATTAAGCAAATAATGGGATTTTTAGCAGCAGAATCCCTGCACACTAAACTACCAAATACCAGACTCATCCTTTTCCTACCCAGAGATTTTGGCAGCACTGTGTTTCCACAGCACACCTGAGGTACTCCAGAGACACTGGGCCTGCAGTACAGCAGCTGCACAGGAATTCCTCAAAAGATATTTTCCACTTTTTCACCTCTGCAGAGGTGAAGTACACACCAGCCAAGGCAGCTCCCCTCCCTCATCACCTCAGCACTCTCACCCACAGGTTTGGCACACTCCACATCCGTGTCCTCAGCCTGGCTGCAGCCCTGGCACTGGGGCTGGGGCAGCACAGCTGCATCAGCTGGAAGTTTGGCTCAACATCCTTGTGATCTCCAGCTCATCATCAGCTTGAACCTTCCTAGGGAAATCAGTGTCCTGCCAACGTGGACAGACAACTTTTCCCATGCACAAATTTTGCTCTTTCTGTACTTCCAAAATGTGAAGGTTTTGGACATCACAAAGAATACACATTTGCAGATCAGCTCCCTCATTGCAAGTGTAACAAAAGGTCAGGACAAACTCAGCTCTAGCTCCTTGCCCAGGTTTACTTATTCTGTTTGTCTCCCAGTAGTGCTTGAGGGCCAAGCAGTCCCTTCTGCATGTTCCTGGAGCACCTGTAGCACCTCCTGCACCAGCCCCGTGTCAGCTCTTCTTCCCAAGAAACCCAGACCTCTGCTTGCCAATTGCCACACCTTTCACCAACACTCCTACTGCAGCGTGCATGATCAGGGAATTGATACAGCTGCATTCAGACAAAACCCCAAGAGACCCAGACCAGCTTTGTGCATGAGCTGCCCGAGCTCTCTGCTGGGTTCCACATCATGCTCACTATTCTGTGATAAAGCTGGAATTGTATTTTTCTCCTAGTGGCCTCAATGCAAATATGAAGAGCCTGAATTTATGAAACCATTTTTTCTTGGTTCAGTCTTGAAAAGAAGGAAGAAAAATAACCCAAAGTCTCTCCCCATCTCTCTTTTATTGTATTGACATTTTGTCTTGTTATCTCTGGAGCCTCAGTCACAAGGCTTGTGGAATTGCTTCAGTCCATAATAATTACTCGTCCATTATGGCACAATCTGTCATTATTGGCATATGCTGTCAGTGTTGTCACTACCTGCCATCCTTGTTTGGCCAAGGCAGCAGCTGTGGTGGCACACCTGTAGTGCAGCCTGGGTTGGGCAGCTTAGGCAGCACAGCAAGAACCTGCACAAGGCATAACTTTAGATGGGACATTTCTTCACTTCTTTTGGAAAAAGAAGCAAATCAACAAAAATTTAAGAGGAGAGGTTATTTTGTCACCACATTTCCTTCTAGTCTTTTATGGGTATAAACTATTATCGTGTTGCAGAAAATCAAGGCAGAATTATGCTTAGATTGTATCTAATTAATTTTTCATACTAAAAACCTTCTTTTTGCCAGATGGCTGATATGTGGCCATTTAGAAACCAGAAGGTACCAGTCAGAAAACAGACAAAGCCCTCAGCTTTGTTCATGGAGCCCCTTTTTTACCTACAGCCTAGCTAGACAAATTGTATTGCATACCTTTGAACAGGGAAGTCATTTAAGAGAAACACAAATCTTTGCAGTTCAGAATTATTCTTTCTCATTCAAAGACATCACTCTCCAGGGTAAAATACAGGAGGGACAGAGTATTAACCTTTACTATGTCAAAAGATCTTTGTGTCATCATCATCTCACCTGGGACCCTTGAGACACGTGGAAACCAAGAGCTTGGGTCTGCTGTGGCTCCTTTTGTCACCTCCAAGGCACAGTTGCTGGCAAAGGGAGAGCATCCCCACCAGGGCAGCTGAGCAAGGGGCAGAGAGTGCTGCCAAATCCAGCACAGCCACAATCCAGTCCCCAGTGTGTCAATGCCTGTGCAGAGAGGAGCAAAGCCCCATCTCCCTCTCACAGGTGAAGCTTGGCCTTGCACCAACAGGGCAAAGGCATTTCTGTCCTGTGTGTGCCAGCTACCCACTGGCTAACATTTGACAGAATGTCACACAGAAAGGGGAAAAACTGCTCCTTAATTATAGTTCTTCTGTTGTTCTACTCAGGGGTTTTATTAAAAAGGAAAAAGCATAGAGAGCAGCTAATCAGCTGCTCTTAAAAAATGAAGGTCTGGAGATTGATTTTTCAAGTGATTAGTGGTGCAAACACACATTTGCACAACTCAAAATCTTTGCATTTTTATCCAGCTGCTATGTTCATTAACCAAGGAAGGGTCAGAGTGGAGCAGTTAACAGCCAGCACTATCCTCAAATACTAATGGCTTTATTACACTGATTTAAAAACCTGTATTGCAGCTCTGTTCCCATAACCCCAGGAGCTCCACAGGTGCAGCTTAATTAGAGCAAAAGCAGTTGCTGTACCTTTGCACATACGATTTTTCCATGACAAGACATCACTTGCTGGACAAAACTCCTCCCAGCTTGGCCCAAGCCATTCCCCGTCTCCAGCAGCATTCAGCACCCCCTCTGCTCAAGTTAGAAGCTCTAATGACAGCAGCTGCCAGCAGCCTGTGGGCTGAAACAGGAATGGGAAAGGCTCAGAGACAGATGATACACCCTGGAGGGAGCTCACACTGAGCATGGTGGCATCAGACAGGTCACACAGCCGTGCTCCTTCCTGTGCTCCTTCCCATCTGTGCTGCTCCTCCAGGTGTCCAGCACCCACAGCTGAGTGGGACTGGGAGCACTGAGTGCCCAGCACTCACCAAATACACCTCCAGGTAAACACAAGCCACAAAAACTACAGTCTGCTGTATAGATTAATAACTAGATTTAATTTAAACCTCCAAAAATGACAGTTTTAATAAAATCATCACTTGTCTACCACTTGTTGCCTAATTTTCTGAAGGTGGAAATCAGGCAGGGTTCACCAGTTCCTCTTGAAGAGGAACCCCCTGCCTAATGAAGGGCTCTCACAAAATCCCACATGCCCCAGGCTTCACTTCCCAGCCTATGGCACAGGCAGCAGAAGCAAGCACTGGCAACAGCCATGGCACAGTCTTCTGCACCCCAAATGGCACCAGACATTGGTGCAATGCATCCAGCCAGGGATGTTCCTCCTCTCCTTTGCCTAGCTTTAAAACCATAAAGCACAAATGAATACATACAGGACCTAAATGTTGATACCTCGTGCTCACACAGGCTCAGAGACAATCTCACTGCAGTTCTCAGTGGAGTTAATTCGTGCACTGTGGGCCTGTGGTGTTATCAAGATATGAGAAGGAATGCATTACATAAATATATATTAATCACAGGGAAGAGAACAGCCAAGACCTGTTTTCAGTTTTTCTTCTGCACTTAGACATGCTTTGTAGATATTTTCCTTCAGCAAATGACTCAATCCATCACAATTAAAGTAACACAATATAATCTTTCCTTTGATTTAATTGCTCCCCTTCTGCCAAATATTCAAGTTCAAAATACATTCAAAGCAATATTTAAAATAGGAAGATTATTTTCAAAATTAGCACAAATCTCCTAATGGGTTCAGAATTACATGCTGGGAGTCTTGCAATGCATTGGGTTTGGGTACTTAATTTAAAATTATTTCCAACACATGACAGCATGAATCTGAATTATTTCCCAGGGAACTCTAATGGACTTGGGTCTTGAAATCCCTCAGAAGGACAATCTTCTTTCCCATGTGCTGCTGCAAACACTCTCCTTCCCCCACATGCTCAGGGCAGAGCTGCTCCTCTTGGGTCCAGGACAGTTCCCACAGCCCATGGGGGACCAAACCCTGCATCCTCACCAGGCACCAGCCCACAGCATCAGCATCTCAGATATTTACCCAGCTCAGGAGCAAGGCCATGGGGAAGCTCACAGATGAGAGATGCACAGAAAGACACCAAGGAGAAACTCAAGACAGTGTCCATGGCTTTGGAAAAACACTCAGGAACAGGCAAGGACCAGCTACAAAACACAGCCAGGTAGCCTCAACAACCCTGCTTGGGCAGATTTGACCTGACAGCTTAAAAGCTTTCACTAATAATGCCATAAGCTTGCCCCAGGTAAAGCACATGTACAGGTGTGTTTGTCAGACAACAAACCAGAGCTGTGCTCAGAGCTTTGCCACTCTCCTGTGGCAAGTGGAGAAGAGTGATTCAGCATCACCACTATTAATGAAAGCAGTCTCTTCTGTTCTTTCCTCCTGACTTTGTTTTTCACTCCGTTTTCCTGCTGTACCTGCTGAATGCTGGATTTCATGTCCAGGCTCTGCTGTGGAGAGCTGCCAGTGCTGAAGCTTTTCAGACAAAGAGCTGAGGGTTTGTCAGCCTGCAGGGCCAGCTGCAAACAGGGCTGCACTTCTGCTCAGGGATGCCATGTGCCCAGACATGGTCCTGGCCAGGGGAGCTGGCAGAGCAGCTCATCCCAACCTGCAACTGCACCAGGCTGCCTCTGTCCCAGCCCTCGGGGTGGCTGCTCTGTGCCCACCTGGGCAACGAGGAGCTCTGTCCCTCCCAGCAGAAATCAAAGCTTTTGTTTCTTTTTTGTTCAGCTGCAAACCACTCAAACCACTGCAGTGAGGCATGAGGGAAAGGGGAATTACAGGTAAAACTACGATCTCCAGCTGTCCATGAAGATGCTTAGATAAAAAAAACAAATGAACAAACAAACTGCAACCAAACAAAAAAACCCAAAAACAAAACAACAAGGAAAAATACCCCAAACAAGCAAACGAAAAAACCCCACCTCTGCTATGAGCTGGATTTTAGAGGTAAAATTCCCTGTCCAATTCCAGCAGCTTGGTCAGAGCTGAGGCTGTGCTGAGGAACCTGAGCTTTGTGAGCAGCACAGGGTGCTGGTGCCATCTGCCGTTCTGGCAGCTACAGGCACAGCAGGAACAGCAGGAACATAAGATAAAGACTTGGCTAATTCATGTCTGCCATAAATGAAAATCCTTCAGATGCCTGAGGGTCTCCTGTGGCAATTTAGGGATAAATGAGGTTTTAGGCACAATTTATTTACATGAGAAATGTCACAAGCAAATCCTTGCTGGTACAGTCCTTGATGCTGCATGAAATTAGACACAATGCCCTTCTAGAAGAAAAGAATGGGATAGAAACAGAGACACTTACTTTGAGGGTGAAATTACTTTTAGCTTTAGCTTAGTTAGTTACTTTTAGCTCCTCAGCCGGGAGTTTAACCCCTGTATCTCAAAAATCCAGCGGTCCCAAGCAGAAGAGCATCAAGCTGGTTTCCTAAATATTATCTCCTGTTTAGGACAAACAGAACCATCTCCATATATAAAACCAGAGAGGATCCCAGCCTGCTCTGATCCAGCTCCTCCCTTGAAGGCACTTGCAGAGGCTCACAATCCCCACCTGGAAAACTGCCTTTCCAAGACAGCCAGTTTGCACCCAGACCTCACAGAGACAGCAGGTCTCAAGACATTGGTGTGAGTTTCACCAGGAGTATTTTTTTGCTGGTCCCAATTCAGCTTTGTATGAGAATCATTTTCGCTGTTCTTACAGAGAGCTATTTATATTGACAATTGGGCTCTGCCTTAAGCACTTAAGCCTGCTGTCTAGCCAGAAAACAGCTTCCCACCAACTTCCATGCCTCTTCCTGCACCTGCCAGTCCCTAAATGCTGATAAAAGGTGCTGTGCCACACACAGAAGTCAGGAGGAATATTTCTGCAATATAACATATAAATGCCCTTGTTTATGGTCATGAAAACCTGCAAACTTGAGGGCCAGAGGTGCCTGTGTGTCCATCAAGAGAGCTGCAGCTGTTGGGATGGCATCCTGAGCATGCTGAGGAGCTGCTGCCAGAGCTAAAAGCAGCGAGCGCGGGCGGCGTGCGGGCGACCCACGCTCTGCACGTGTCCTGACCATCCCTGCTCAGGCAGCCCAGGGGAAAAGGCTCTTCTTGGAGCCACTTTCTCTGCCTCAAAATTTACCTCCATCTCCTAAGCACCACGGGGAAAACTCAGCTGTAGGAACCTCTTTAGGAAATGGAGTTCATGGTGAGTGCAGTCCTGTCTGCTTTAGCGAGCGGGTTGCTTAGGGAAATGGCAGGATAAAAGATTCCTCTCTGGAAATATCTCAGCTGCAAAACCTAGACCCACTTCCACAGAGGAAACTCACATAAAACTCTGACGTGTTTTGCAGAGCTGTATCTTGATGCAGCCTGCAGAGGACCCAGCTGGGGCACACATCAGTACAGACTAGAGATGTCAGGGCAAGTGTCCTACCCAGGGCTGGCAAGCACCCAACAATGTTCACCCCTCCTCAAACTGCCTATAGACAAATCTGTATAGCCCAGACTGGCACAGGCTTAAATTACAGTGGAAAATACATTAGATACATCAAAATACCTGAAATTAAACCCCAGGGAATGCTGCCAGAAAGCAGCACTAAGAGAGCTGTTAGAGCACCCAATAAAGTGGTGCCTCAGGGCAGCATCCAGTAATGTCTTTATTGCAACATTCTGCAAGAACTTTAATCTGAGCCTAGCCAGTCTCACCACTAAAATATTGTTCCTGGGATTCAGGATGTAGAGAGCAAGCAGGCACCTCTGCTAAGCTGCTTTCAGAAGTTAATACTGACAGATGATTGAGGATATCTGCCAGCAATGCCACCTCTGTTATGAAGTAGCAAAGTTCTAAATTGCTCATGGTCATCTGCACTCCTTTTCCACCACACTTGTTCAATCCCCTTGAAGTCTGCAAATATGCACCAGCATAATTTAGAGGAGTATTTGGCTAATGTGGTCAGAGATAATCTGAATTTACAAGATGCCCATGATAAGCACCTAGGCTAAAACTACTGATCTGTTTGGCTCACTGAGAACATCAGATCTTAAATGGAGCAACAATGTCAGGAGAAAGGTCAAATGTGTCCCTGTTGTCCAAACACAGCCCTCACATAGACCTGCACTGCTCCTGTGAACTCAGAGGACCTGTACCAGCCCAAATTTGGGTGAAGGCAGCCCAGCCAGTGCTAGTCTCAGACTTGGTTCAGTTTAACCAGACTTGGCTGAGTCTACTGGTGAGTCCAGTTTCAGACAGGTTTGACAAAGTGCAACCAGCCAAACCTGGCAGAGTCTGCCAGAGTTTACCACCCACGTGGAGTCCCCAGCGTGGAAGACAGGAGGGGAGGCTTGGGGAGACTCCCAAGACCCACTCACAGCCCCTCCACAGCCTTGGGACGTCAGCCAGGCTGTGACAATCCCTGACAATGACACTCATTGTGACTGAAACCTCCCAGAGTCTCCCCTCTCTCACAAATGGTGATGTCCAACTTGCAGTCACGTTCTCTGCCCTGTCTGAGGCTCCCCTGGAGGAAGAGCCCAGGACAGCCCTGGCTGTCTCCAGCAATGGGCCCCCACCTCCCCCAGCCCCACCGGTGGGTGCAGAAGCTGTCCTGGCACACCCCTGCTCAGATCCTCCCTGGCAGCTGCACTGACACGGGTAACCCTGGGAACTCTCTGGGAAACACCTCTGGGCCTGCCAGCCTACCTGGAGCTTCTCTCTCCCGAAATTCCCAGCACTGCCAAGCTCCCTCCCTATCCCCACTCCCCTGAGACACAAACACCAGCCTGTGCCCAGCTGCTTCACACAGGAGGGGAAAGATGAGCTGGGTTTCCTCAGGAAGTCAGAAGTTCCTGCCTGAACTCTGAATACAACAGTCAGAATTAATTCAACTTTTACTCTCAAAACTACCCCAGACACCAGCTTGCCACTGAAGATACCCAGTTTCTCCACAGGGCACATCTCTTCATCTCCACAAGAAGATTTCTGTTACCTGCACTCCTCATTCAGAAATCTCCCTGAAAAAAAAAAAAATTAAAATTAAAAAGAAGTCCCTATTCATCTGCCTCAGAATTTGATGTATAAATTGAAATGTTACTTCAGAGGCCCCTGACAAAGCAATCCAGAAAGGAGGGCCCCAGCATCTGTGGCCTTTGCACCTGCTGCTTTTCCATTTTGGGAGGGTTTAAGATGGCTGGAATAGCCAGTCTGTTCCCACCACCCCTGCATTCGAAAAGCTTCAAAAGTTCATCTGGGAATTACACCCCCAAGAGGTGAATAATAGTTTAAATTCCTTGAGCTGGATTGCCTAGTGAGGGGATCCAATAAATCCCACTGATTGTGGCACAATTTCCAGAAGAAGGGGAGAGCATCCCTACAGCACAGCCCGTGCTGGAGGGCAGGACCCATCCCATCCTTGAGCCCAAATGGCCTTGGTATGATTTGCAGCGACAAAAAATGCAACAACAGCCTTTAGTAACAGTGCCAGGAGATATGCTTTAGCCAAAAGTATTTTATACCTTTTCACACAGCTTCTGGGACTCGTATGAATAAAGCAGAAAGGCCACAGGAAAATTTTGAGAGTCTGTGCTTGCAGGACAGCAAACTACAACTCACGTTTTCAAACTGGGAATCTGGGGAATCCCACAAAAGGTAACTAATTATTCAATACCTCACACTGCAGGGCAGGGTTCTGCAAAGCACTGGGTTATTGTCGTGGCCACAAAACTGATGAAGGCTGAGCAGGATAACCCCAGTCCAGCCATGGAAGGGCACTGCTGTGGGGGCAGACAAGAACCAATTTGTTTATAGACACTTGCAGAGCAATGGCAGCTTTGGCTGGGGATCCTGCATTTTGTGCAGGATTATAATCCTGCAAAAATAATCCACACAAAGCAATTCCTCCAAGGGTTTGGGGGCACGGGAACCCCCAGCACACCTGCTGCAGTGACACTGAGGGACACAACCCTCCACTTCAGAGATGCCCTCCCCCCACGACTCCTCACTGAGCAGCTCCCCTTGTGTGAAATGCAGGTGTACAGTGGCCCTGCACTTCTGCCATCATCACAACATCCCTTCAGCTCCTGCAGGCTTCACTCTATCAGCTCTGCAGGGTGGTTACACCAGGCTGCTCAAGCCAGTGGGACACATGCTGGCTCCACCAAGATACCTCCCTGCATTCCTCAGCATCTGGGAAGAAGCTCAGGTTTTCTTTATATCCCAAGTGAATAGGAAATTCTTTACATTCCAGGTCTCTATAAGAGAGTCCTGCTTCTAATGAAGTTTTTCTACACTTCTCTTTCAATGTAGAGAGCCACAATCGACCTGAGCTGGCATCTTTCCAGCACTCAGGGCTATTAGCATTTCAAATTATACGCAATTACGGATCTGGCCACCGTTTTATCTCACAACACTGGACCTGTTTTGTTCCAGCTAATGGTGCCACCCTGTTGACTTTCAAACAGGCTGGAGAGAATAAATTGCTGCAGTTTATTCCCATACAGCTGACATTCCCGCCATGCCATCACTCACAAGCAGGGATCTGAACATTAGAAATGTAACCCACCACCCCAGACAGCCTCCAGACCTCAGAGGGAGCTGCTGGAGAGGAGACTTTCCACTTCAAGACTCAGCACTGACACAAACTGCTGGCAGCAAGAGCCCCAACACCAAACTGATGGCTTATAGAGGTAAGTAACACTTTATTTCTAGCATATTGACCATGTTCTTGGGATGTTTGATGCTTTTTAGACATGGGGAATAGAGGCAGGGATATGATTTTCCTTTTCAGAGAGCAGCATTCCCCTTGCTGGCACACAAAGCTCTGCTCTCACCTTTAGGCTCATCGAGGGTGGTCATTTGAACATCCTGGCAACCCAGGAGATCTAAACCCACAGCATCCTTGCTCAGTCCTGCTGCCTGCATCAGCATCTCTCACCCTGGTACCCAGGAACATTGTGCTTTCAAAGCAGAGAGGACTCCATGCCACTCAGGGCATCCCAGCTCCACAGCACAAGGGGTGAAGACACGATGAGCTCTGCCCTCCTGACTGTCTCAGTTCTTTTTTGAAGTACTCTGCAAGTAGCTAATCCATCAGTGCTTCATTTAGTGTCCTGGGCTGAGAGCAGATGAAATGGTCCCCAAAACCCTCAGCTGTGATGTGGGCTGGGTTGTGCAGCAGAGCATCCACGGAGCTCCAAAGCCTGCTCCTAAACATGACTCATGGGCAGGGGAAAGAGAAAAGAGGTAGAGGTGCTACATGGAAGAAGAAAGCGGTCAGAAATTACAATACAACTTCTCAGTGTGTGTCTTTTTAGAGCACTGAGAAGTGTTGGTAGTGCAGGTAACCAGAACCACAGCAGTGGGATTTGGATTTAGTCTTTCACCCTGCGCTCCATCTTGCAGCAGCTCAGGCTGCTGATTCTCTGCCAGCACATCATTTACAGCCACAGAAATTCACTGTCCAGCCCTGTGCTACCAGAGCACATCACTGGCTGTTCTGTACACAGCCAAGGAGCAAGGACAGCCTGCCTGTGCCTCTGCAGCGGGGCAGCAGCAGAGGGTGACCTGGGCAGGGCTGGGCAGTGCCCTCCTCTCCTGGCCCAGCAGGGCAGGAGCCACAGCCCAGCCCCTAAGCACAATTCACATCTGGCTCGTGTAGGGTTAATCCAGAGCCTTGTGAGAATGGCCAAGTGTGGATGGGAGTGTGGAGCCTCCCAGCTCCAGAGGACAAAACACTGGAGGATCAAGGATTTCCTCAGCAGATCGGGGTGTGAGGCAAACTTGAGGCAGGACCTGCCCCTTGAAAGGAATTTAATTCCCTTTGTTTTATGAGTATCTTCCTTTTAATGTTTTTCTCTTTGGTTGCATTAATGAGTAGGTTTGGGGTATCCAAGAACTTTGTCACTAACACTGTTATCTCCTAGAGAAATTCCTCACTGTTGCTGCAAAAAGTAGCAAGAAAATTGAGTGGTATGTGTACAGTGCCTGAGAGAGGAACTTTGTCCAATTCCCACAAATACAATTAACAAGAACTGTAATTCACCTCAACCTCTGCTGCTAATTTAACCTATAACATTTTAAACTCATTTGCTGACCAGTTCTCTAAGCAGAAGCAAACTTTTCATTTTTAGCAGGGAGGGCAGGCAGCCACAAAGCCCTGGCTCTCCTGTGCCTCACAGTGCACACATGCCTTTCTATTGCCATTTCCTAATTTCCAAAGGTTACCCAGGGCAGGGGACAGCCCCTTGCTGGGTGCCAGGCCTGCAGCACAAGCTGGAGTTCAAAGCCACCCTGACATGGCTCTACTTGTGACAACTTTCCAATGCAGCTGGGTACACATTAAATTAGGCACTTCGGTTTTGAGAGACTTTCCAATAATTAAGCAATCTCTATTGCTTGTGGGACACTTGAGCTGAAGTTTGGCACATATGCTACCTCTGCCACTCCCCAAAAGACAGAAAATTAAAACCCTTCTGTATTTTTAGGGGTTTTCTACCCAGGAAGTTTGTCTTAGCTGCCAAAAAGAAGGTAATCCAAGCACACACTGAGATCACTTACTAGATGTGCTCTTGGCAATTAGCATGATGTCTAGCAAATCAACTTTTCACTGTAGAACACCTTGTCACAAGAGGGGAATGCAGGGAGTATGACCAGAAAACCTTTTCACCAGTTGCAAACACACACAGGTGAAACATGCTAGCAATGCAATGGATTACAGGGTGAGAGAAGCGGGTAACACATGCCTCACTTTTCTGAAAAAATTGAATTAAAGTATGAGTTTAGGCACTGCATGTCTACGGTTAAAAATTTACAGCTCTGATTTATAATGAGCCAAGTGCAAGCTAAAATCAGGCCTGGCTGCTAATGGCCTTTGGGTGGAAATGAACATATTTGCTTTAGCAATGCTCTCGGGTTGCTCGACAGGCCCAGAGTTTTGTATGACACCAGCTGCTTCCATATCAAATGCTGTCCCTGCAGTTAAAATTAGCCTGATCCTATTTCGGGGGGGGTTTTGGTGTGCAGCCACTGCCCATGGGCTGCTGGCTGTGAACAGTCAGTGCCTGGCACCAGCTGGGCACAGGGAATCTGTGGGAGCCCAAATCCCGGAGCATTCATTGAAACCAACCTTTCCTCCTCCGTGGGCACGGCGTGTGGCACGTGGCATTGTCACAGGAGGTGTTTGGGACAGCTTGGATGGCACAGTCTTGATGCCTGCTGGGCACAGATAATAACCGTTAGAACTCTTTTTTCATTCAAGAAACATCTGTGGAAGTTATTTAATTTTATGCAATTCTTTCTGCCAGCTCAATTTTCTGTGAAATGGCTTGGGGTTTGTAAAGTTATTTCCCTATAAAAAGCTGCCTTTGACTGTATAGTGACAGGTTAATTTAGGCAATTTGAACAATAATGGTTTTGGGAATTGGCACCTCTATTGTTTCATAGTCTACACCTTAGCTCTACACACAGGCTTCCAAACTACAGTGCTTAGCGATATCCTCATTATTTACACTTTGTAAATGTACAATTTCTGTTCTGTGTAAAAGCTTCCAGACAGGAATAGTTTTCTTTACCACATTTTACAGTGCAAGAGGTAGGACCCTGCTCTGAGTTTTGTGGTAATGCTGCAGCATATGCAACAGGCTGTCCTTCCTGACTTGGTTATACGCTGCATTCTGGCTCCCAGCAGTTTTGGATAAGTACCACGAGCCCTGCTGCTGAATCAGAGCTCTTGGTGTAGACTCAAATTCTCTTTAGATGCTGAAGCTGCCTCAGCTTCTCTGGTGAAGAAATCAGGGATAGGACCTGGGAATAAGTATTTAAGAGTCCCCAGCTCTGCCCCACTGCACTGCTCTGCCCCAAGGCCCATGCAAAGGAAAAATTATGGATAATGCCCTCTCATGCTGGCATCACTGCACCAGCTGCACCCCCTGCTCCCTCTCTGCCACCCTCACTCCACAGCACTCTCAGCCTGCTCTAGCACCACATGAAAGGTGCTGGAGATAACTCTGCTGCTCAGGAGGCAGCAGAGGGAAGAGCTTTGTGCCAGCTTGGGCAGGAGCTGGCCAGAGACCCCATCCCTGTGCTCTCCTCCCCACTCCCAGGCTGCCCAGCCCCAGCACTGCAGATGTGGAGTGGGGGCAGCCGGGTTACACGTCCCTGCTGCCCAGCAGCTGCTCCTGTGGTTCACATCTCACCACAAACCCCCCAGCTCCCAGGGAACCCCAACACTGGTGTGTGTCTCTGCAAAGGCATTTCTGGCCAGAACCTTGCACCACCACCATGGGGACACGGGCACCACCTCTCAGCAGCCCAGACAGACAATTCTCTGACCAGTGAGCTAAAAACATCTCCTGGCATGTCAGGGAAACCAGAAACCAGAGAGCTTTAGATAGCACTCCTCACAGCACGGGCTCAGGGGGGTCTGGGCTCCTGGTTAGTTGTGCTCGTTCAGATCTCAGCCCCTGACTCCTCTGTGCTTGTGGAAGGGCTGGCACTGCCTGTCTCAGGGGCTGAGCAGTGCTGATGGAGCTGAGCTAGGACAGGATCTCTGGGGCAGAATTCACTGAGGGCACAGCTGCCGTGGGTAACTGGAGGCTCCTGTGCCCAGCTGCCCTGCCTGGGAGGAGCTCCCATGGAGCAGGACTGTCACTCTGGCCCCTCACTGCAGCCTCCGGAGCCTGACGTGCTCTGGGACAGCAGAGCTGACATTTCTGCAGGCTCGGGAGCTTTGCTTCATCTCGGGATCTGCCAGCTTTGATGATTTCAGGTTTAGATGGCAGCAGCATCAGAGCGCCAGTCAGTAACCACTTGAGGCACACCTGTGTGACAGGAGATGACAGAAGCTACAGCAGGCACATGCTGCTTTGCATAGCACTTTGGAGAAAAATGTTATGCAGGCTCTGCAAAAGCTACCCCACTTTTCTATTTGCATCTGAGTGCAATGGAGCTACTGCTGTCACTCCAGAGACATCCCATTTGAACGTGTTCCCATCTGAGGACATACTTTCCTTTTATTCCCATGCAAATGAAATCAGCTAAGTAAAATCATGATGTTTGGGGACAGAAAAGGTTCTTTCTCCATTTTGGTAATTACTACTATAGCAAAGACATCCTGTGCTACAAGATACTGTAGCAGTTGCAATTCCTGCAGCGCTGTTCACAAAAATTCCTTCTTCCTGAAGGAGGGACACGTGTAACAGGTGTGGTCTGGGGCCAGTGGAGGTCAGAGCTCGCTGCCTTCTGCAGAAAATGCAAACGTAAGGGTACAGCCACGGCAGCAGAGTCATCCTTGGGGCTCCGGATAGCAAAGCCGTGAGTCACAGTTACTGCCCTGATCATACAATTCCCATCTCCTAAGCCTGCCGGAATGACAGCCACCTCCTTGGAAGGTGTGCCCTCACGGAGCATGGGGCAGGACAGGCTTCTCGCCCTCCTCCTTGGCCCTGTTCACTCAATCCTCCCTCTGACGTGCAGCAGAGCTGTCACTGAGCCATGCTGGGGATGTCAGCCCGCCCTGCCTCAACAGCGCACGGGCATTTTCTACATTAAAAAAAATAAATAAAGACCGTGAGTTTTTGTATTATGGCTGAGGCTCTGCTTCATCAGGCATCCTGTGGGAATGGGAACAACACCCTGCAGCAGTGTGCAGGGAGAGGCAGAACCGGGATGGGAGCGATGCCCTCCCCAGGCACAGGCGCTGTGCGGGAGGAGCGATGGATGCTCCCGGACCGGGGCTCGGGGCTCGGGGCTGGACCCGAACAGGGCAGCCCAGCCCTGCCCCAGGGCACCAGCTCAGCACTGAGCTCCTAGAGAGCAGGAATCCTGGAGATTGGGAGACTGTGGGTGTTCCCTCACAGGAAAGAATTTCGTCTAACTTTGTTACAGCATCCTAACTGCAGAGACGGCATGTACAGGTTCTTGAAAAAACATTCTTTCCATGGCACTAATTGGTCCATAGGATTCACATAAGGAACCCTCAACTTCCACAAACACAGCCTCTGGGATGTGCCATAGGAATGCCAAAGACACAGCGCAGAGCAGCAGGCACAGGATGCCCAGAGACTCCCCAAATGCTGCTGCCCGTATTCACACCTGCACATCCTCTGCAGGTCACAGCCACGGGTGCCAGAGCCTTCATCCCAGGGCCTGCAGCCTTCCCTTGTCAGGCAGTCTGGGCTCAGAATCCTCCTACATCTCTGTAATGCTCTGGCATGCAATGAAGTGGGGCAGGGTTGGGTTTTTTTATAGGGAAGAAAGGAAGGAAATTAGCAGGATTTCTGTTTGACACAAATATACTTTAACAAGCATGGAGCTTCATGACTTCAAGTGGAAGCTTAGCATCTCTTAAAATAAGCTTGAGGCGTCTTTTAATGTCGGTGCTTAAAAGGGATTTAGTCACTTGGTTCTAGGAACTCCAGCTCGACTCAAGTGTCCAGTATCTATTGGCAGTTCAGCTGTTATCCAAATAAGGGGAGGGAAAGCCAGGATTTTCCAGCCCTGAGAAACAGCTGTGCTCAGAAGAGGCATGCAATTCGAGGGATAAAATTAATTCCCCCTCAGCCCTGGTGTGTGAGCCGCTCCCAGCTGGATGAAGGGCCCGTCCCTCCCAGCGTGTCCCTCTCGCTAGGCGGCCCCCGAGCCCTGCCAGGGACCCTGCTCTGCCCCTGGGACCTCCAGGCAACCAGAAGGAGATTTGAACACACAGGTATTGAGGCCCCATCTCTTCACACTGCACTTGGAGTGGGACACGTGCCTGTGAGGACAAGCACCCTGAGTATGTGCACACCTGCACCAAGAGCCCACAGGCTTCACGGCCACGTGAGCCACACACTGGGTGTGTTTGTTCACCATCTCATCAGGGATGTGCCTTAAGTAGTTCCAAAATTAAGCTTTCCACTGTGCTCTTTCCTACATTAAGGTTACTGTTGCTCAAATGCCATTACATTCTGAGAGCTGATGCTCTTTTCTTTGCATCACTTGCTCTGTAAAATGGACAAACCCAACTAAAACTTAGCAGTGGCTTTGAAGCATGAAACACAGTACACTCATTCCTGCTGCCATGCTGGTCTCCATGCTTGACAGTCCTTGCTAACTCCAGAGGGAGCCTGTCCTTGAAAGCCAGCACACCTTTCTGCCCTTCCCAAACGTGTATGGAAATGTCCACAGGAGTGCCAGACACAACTTTTGAGATGCAAATCTCTAACCTGCTTCATCGCAGGCATTAAAAGCTGAATTCACAGGAAACGAGCCTCTGAAATTGTGCTCTTCGGTGCTACCTGTTCTGAAAATATGCCAGAAATAAAAGAGGTATTTGAAACATACTCAGCTGCATTTCTACAATTTAGAAAGACTCTCAGCAAGCTTCACATCCAACCAGGATTCTGCAGTTTCTGTGAATACCTTATCAATGGCTACAATAACCTCTTTCAGCTATTTGATTATTTTCAGAACATCCCAGCTGACACAAACCTGCCCCACTCCCCACCTGAAGAGCAGTGATTTTAAGAAATTGTTCCACAAATCACAACTGTTTCTGCAGTCCAACTGATCTCAGGATTCTTGGAGCATAGAAAGAGAAGCAAATAAAATCACTCTTTCTCACTTCCTACAGAAGTCTCATTATTCACACCCCAGGAGCAACAGAGAAGCCACTTTATAGTCACACATTCACACCACTAAGGAACTCACAACTAGAGAGCTCACTACTGAAGTGGTGATAATTTCACTGTTTAGCCATATGGCACAGAAGAAATTCAGCTCCAGACAGAGCTTTCTGCAGCCACTGCCACTGGGAGAGCCTCGTTCTTTGCAGACCTATCCATTTCTTTGTTAAGCCCTACAGAGTAGTGCCACAAGATACCCAAGTGTCTGGCACACACTCCCAAAGCTGGAACACCTCTGTAACAATGAGTAGCACCATCAGGTACATGCAGATGGTTTGCAGAATGCATCATTTCCAAAGTGATTGGAAGTTGTTATCCTGCATATCTATTCAAGCAGCTTTTAAAATAAAAGACAAGCTGGTACATTAGTGTGATGATGCAGTCTAGCTCTGCCTCACTTCTAAGTGTAAATTTTTAAATGTACTCCTCCCCTCTACACACTCTTTGCAATGCAGTGTATTTCAGATCCAGCAGATGCTCATCTTGTTCCTAAAACAGATTTAATGTGTTTTCCATGATCTAAACACCTGGCAAAAGGGCTCCATGAAG